ACTTAATTTGGCCCAATGCAATACTAAATATTATATAATTAAATATGAAATATTAATATTTTCATTAAAACTTATTTAATTTGTTTTATTTGCAGAGGGGAAACCACACATGCATTTCAGCATTTTAGTATTTGAATACTATACCCAATGATTAAAGTCAAATCCCATTTTAAAGAAATATCTATGTTGACACTAAAACCACTGAGGGATATTCTTGGCTGCAGAGTGAGATTGTGACGAGGATGAGTGGGCGGATGACACATTAAAATGGCATTCCCTTTTAACTGATGCTTCAGAATATTATTTGAAAGTTCAGCTCTTGGATGATGCTTCTCTGAAAAAGAACAAATGAGCAAAGTGCCTCAGATCAAGGATGACTGGTTGAATGGCTACACATCATATTAAATCATGAGAACTCTAAACAACTTCACTGGAACTAAACCAGTTGCTGTCTATTGTTCCATACTTGTATTAAAATTTTTCCGTAACAACTGTTCAAAGGCTCCAGTCCCACATATTTTAAAGCTGCTGTTGGGATACAAATCAAGCATATGATCGCTGGCAGAGACGAGGTCAGGGTATCTCAGTTAGCAGCTTTGATGACACTTAGTGATGTGGTCATTCTGAAGCTTAAGCTGTGGGCATGGGTGCTGGATGACAGACACTCAGATGCAATGATGACACAAGATCCTCTGAAAAACAGCATGTCCTTGCAATAGTGCATCCTCTAGCTAACTGTTGGGTTTGTATTTGTATTCCTCCTTAGGCTATCTGTCAAGTTACTGCTTTTCACCCTCCACTCCCCTGTGCACTTCTAGTGTGTGGTGACAGAATTTCAATGCTGCGTTAATTATCCAATTTATTTAAACCAGAGACTGTTGAGAGGACGAAGGAAAACCTCCAAATGTCCATGAAATCTTTGAGCAGTCGCCCAAACTTGCCAAGGTCACCTTTGAAATTACAGTGTAATGAATGCACTTGGCTGTGAAGGACTGATGTTCAGTACTGCACCACATGATATTTTGATTAACATAAAATTGCAATGCTGCCTCTTCCTACCGCTTCGGACCGGTGATCATCACAGTAGTTTATTACAGCCAGCTGACATTACTATGGTAACACATGCAGTGCAAAACTGCCGCAAGGCCATTTGTTGTTGTAAGAATGGCCTATTTGTTAAAACAGTGACTTTTATGAGAATATTTTATTATTTTTTGTCATTGGTTAGATGACTAACATCTCCTTCATTGACAACAGTCTCACTCTGAGTTTGATATAGACTGTTTACCAGGCGTACTTACAGAAACTCTTAGATATTATCAAGGAAATTAAAATGATAAGATATTCATGTTCTGATGGATTGTTCCCTTTATATATTATTTCCTCCAATCCAGGTGTCGGACAGGTGCAACTATGTTTTTGTGAATGGCAAAGAGACAAAGGGCAAAGTGAGGATGATTGTGAACTTCACCTACAGCTACCTGAGTGCTCAGCTCGAACTGAATGTGTGGATGCCCCAACTTCCCCTCCAGATTGAGGTGTCAGACACACAGCTGAGCCAGATCAAAAGCTGGAGGGTACCCATACTAACATCGAAAAGGTGGGACACACAAACAAACCATTTGTTTAGTGTAAAAACTCCCCTTATTTGATTTCTAGATGGGATTTCTAGAAGCATCCTTCAGCCCTAATCATATCTCTCCAAGGGTTTAGGGGTTTGATTCCATTACATAATGTACTGCAATATCTCAATGTGATCCAATCAAGCAAAGAGACAGGGTTGAGTGATTGGAGTGTAGCAGCAGGTCAAAGCATTTATCGTGTGACAGGTGTGACCGGCACATGTGTTTTTTGTGCTCATGTCCTAGAGCTGGCTGGAACAGTGAAGAAGACGACAGGAAGGGGAAGGGCTGCATGCTGCAGTTTCAGCATGCCCTGGTGCGGGTGCTAACTTACTTTGTGGCAGAGCAAGAGGACCCTCGGGATCCGAAGGCCTATTTCCTGGGCTCCGATTGGCAGGTGGATGTCACAAGGCTGGTTCGGTACTTTATGAAGGTGGAGGACACTCGAGTGGCAAGGCTGCAGGCAGGAAGGGTGCTGTCGGGACGTGACCTCGGAACCACTACTATCCAGGTAATAAACTGAACCGATGCTTATATTAACCTTGGCCTGCACAGCCTGTGCAACATCATAGCAATAAGCATGTATTCAGACACTGGATTGGATGGGGTAGTTTACACTTTGAGTTGACAAAAGTTAGATTGAAGTTTTATGAGGGCACAAGTCTTACTTTCAACCTGATACCTAATTAACTGACTGCATCTGATATTGTTCGGTGACAGGTATTTTCTCCACTGTCTGATGCAATCTTGGCTAAGACAACCATCAAAGTTGTGGATGACAAAGTGACCATCACAGAGTTTGGGGTCCAGCTGGTCACTGGTCTCTCCATGACTTTACAGCTCAGTCCTGGTAGCAATAGGGCCATTCTGGCTACCACAACCACAGAGGAGGTTCTGCAGAGCCCCAAACAGGTAAAAGTCTTTATCCATTTAAATGTCTTAACTATAAACTATAGTTTAAAAGCACAATTACATTTTCTCCCATTTTCTGTTCTTTTAGGAAGCTTTGGTCAGTGCCTGGGTGCAGTTCAGTGATGGAAACCAGACGCCTCTTGACATTTATGATCCTGCTTACTACCGACTGACGGTGACATCTCTAGATCAGGGGGTGGTGTCAGTTCAGGGCACGCCTCCGGCTGTGGTGGCTGAGGGTGAAGGCGAGGGAGTCCTGGTCAGAGTGGAGATGTCCATCTGTGAGGCCTGCCAGAAATCCAAACGCAAAAGCACGGTGGCTGTGGGCAACGGCAGTCTCAAGGTTAAGTTTCAGGTGAACAGCCGCCGCTCAAATGGCAATACCAGCAGCACTGTTAGCAGCAAAGACAACGGCAGTGACTATGGGAACGATGGGGAAGAGATAGACAGCGAGAGGAAGCAGTCCCTGGATCCTCCACGGCGCAGCTCGACCTCAGAGAGAGAGGAGAGAGCCATGCAGAAGATCACAACCACAATCAAATCAGCAGAACGAACCTTCATGACCAGCGGCAGCCTCGGAGGAGTGGGTAAGATCAGCAATTCAGGAAACCCCAGCAGTCCTACAAGCGTAGTGAAAATCAGCATGATAAGCAGCCCTGGCAGCAGCAAAGCATATGGCTCAGACAATATGATAGTGGAGGATATGAGCAGTGTCAGCTTTACCAGCACTGTGAAGGCACCTGGGAACCTGGTAAACTATAACAACTTCCCCACCAAGGTGGGGGTGCCTGGGCAGGAGACAACAGAGGTAGAAACTGGGGGTGAAGAAATGTTGGCCAACCGACCGCTCACGGACTTGGAGATTGGCATGTATGCTCTGTTAGGCGTCTTTTGCCTGGCCATTCTGGTTTTTTTGGTTAATTGTATCTCATATGTTGTTAAGTTCAGGCACAAGAAGCCTCCCTCTCATGGCCAGGAACCCACAGGGCACAGACATGACTGGGTATGGCTCGGCACAGATGCTGAGCTGGTGATGAGCGTGCCAGGCAGTCCTGTCCAGCAAGACTCCCAAACTACAACCACTGTCATAGACATTGGGCCTGATAAGACTGCCTCTCTCTCCAGAAGGCCCAGTTGCCTGGCCTCTGTTACAGACTCTCCCCTAAGCTGCGTGGGCTCCCTCAGGAGCAAACCGATGCACACCGAGTCCCTCCACTCGCCCACCAGCAAGAGGAAGAGAGTCCAGTTCACCACCTTCTCCACTCTGGAGCGCCAGCATTCGCCACATCTCCCACCGAGGGAGAACGGCCATGGAATCCACTGGGTTGGGAAGGAGGACAGTTGTGAAGAGGAACCCCAAGAGACCATTACAGATCCTGGGGACCAGTTATAATACAGATCCTGATCAGACCTCACATGTACAGTAGATGTGGCTTTGATCACCTCAATGCCTTTGGTAACTCTATTAACTGTCTAGAATATGTGATTTTGGAATTGCCCTCCTTTACATTTCATTACCTATCAAGGCCTTTTACATGTACATGTACTGTATATAACTGTTAATATCAAAGTGTGTATGGTATGATAATGTTTCAGCTGTTTGACCAGATGGACTCTCACACAATGTTCCGAGCCACCAAATGTTAATGCTGCATGTGTATCTACTTCTTTAAACTTTTGCACTCACATGCTGTTATATACAGTACAAAGACACACTGAAAAAGTGTCCCAAATAACAAAAACAATGTATTGATGATCAGTTATAATATAGAACTCTGTCTCACAGAGTTTCACCAAAAATGTGGCTTTCATTAAAAATAATACTATCTGAAATGGGTGTTTTCTATTATGCAATATCCAATACCTTTTTGTTTGTAAATTTAATTTAATTTTCATTTGATTTTTTTTCATTAAAACATTATGATCTTTAATATTGCCTTTCACTTGATTTTCCATGTTAAGCACTTTTTTAGGAGGTATATGATCTTTGCCAACAGTTTGCAGGTCAGCTACTTGCATTTGTCTATATTTTGTGTAATGCTTAAATTTACAGCTGCATCAAAAACCCTTGAGAGAACATTCATATTTTTCTAAGTAGCCCATGCACCAGTGTGTTGCCTAAATCAACCTTTGTAACGACAAATTACAAGAACCTTTTGTGCCCCTTTGCCCTTTAAACAAATTGAGTTTTTGCTGGGTCCTTGAATGTGTGCAACCCAACCGTTGCACTTTATTAAAAATGAATGTGGTAGCATACAGACTGGAAAGAACATACATATTGGAATTGTTTTTGGCTAGACTAGATTAGTTGATCCTGCACTGCATTTGATGGCACTTTCAGATTTTTTTTAGTATGACACACAGCTATTTTTGTCTAAATAGAGGGAATGATAATTTAACAACTATCATACATTTTCGGATCACCAACCTTTGTCTCTTTGATTAAGTAGAATGAATAAACAGAGAACCCATGTTTTGTTTTCTATATTTATACCCAACCATAAATAACAGTACATCATCAATTTCAAACAGTATATTAACAAGAAAAAACCCAACCATTTGAAGTGCTCTGCATTATAATCTGGCAGTGCAGATAAAACAGGATTATTTTGTACAGACATTTTATAGCCTGATTTCTAAAAGACAGAATAAAGACACCTGTGATAATTATTACCAAGGCAAATACACCTGTGTAACGCCTTGTTCTTTGTTGTTGAAGTTCCTGAGAAAGTATACAGAGTGGGGCTGAAGGCTGTGACCTTATGCTCAGAGCAGAGTATCCACCAGCCGTTGGTAGGTTTCTCTCTCCTGTTTCAGGCCATGATGCTCTTCAACGAACAGTTTTCCGTTCCTCACCACTCTCTCTCTCAGCTCACGATCTGACGACAGCCTCTGAGATTGATGCACAAATTCCTGGCAGGGATAAAGGCAAAATGAGTCACATTTACTGCCAAATGCCACTTAAAGCTTGCCACTGAAGTTGCCTGAAGATGTTTTTATTTTAAAGCATAAAAGATAATCCAAGGCACGAGAACAGAACAGAACAGATAAAAGCATGTGCACTGATAAGGTCTTCTAAAATTTCTTTACATTGCCAAAGGATTGAGATATTTGTGGCATTAGATCCAAATATGTCTATCCAATAGACCTCTTTATATTCTAATAGCTGCCACCTCTCATTTGCTTATGAAGAAAAGAAAAAATAAAAGTGACAGCTACAGTTAAACGTTACTACAACAACGACTGTAACAGGGACATGGGGAGCGAAAGATTAGGATAAAAATGATGTTGCCATGGCTGAGATGTGTTGTATCCACACAGCATCCTGAATCATAGTTGCTCATCTGTTGCACAGCAGACTGAGGAAAGCCTCCAACAAAATAAAGTGAAAGTGCCTTAAAGTGTTCCTACGACATGGCTGCCAACATTTATTGCAGTAAAGATCCAATGGGCGCACAAAGTTTTAGCCACTGCCAGTCAGCAGGCCAATTCACTACACTTCACTCAAGTGATGTGATTATGTCTGGAGAGGCTCTTGGTGGGAAAAAGCTCTTCTCTATTGCCATATGAGAGCTACAAATCCTCAGCAACAGGATTAAAGCTCAATTTATGAGCAGCATGCTTATAATAATTTCACTATTCACTGCAAATTACACAGCCAGACAGGAAGTGCCATTTTTCTCTGTAAAGCTTTCAAGTGCTTGTGTGTTTGTTTCTTTTGGCACATTTCTTTTGGATACCTATTCTCCTCATGTAATTACTTTGAAAGCTTAAAAAAACAGAAACACTGTCAATCAAAAATAAGAGATAAGAGAGGATTTTAAAGCACGCAAAAGAAGTCTTGAGTGTGATCCACCGCAAGACAGGTTTTGGCTGAAAGACTCACACTCGCTGCCCATCAGTCCTGGCTGAGGTCATGGTTTATCCAGCCCAAGGCGATGCAACCATCTGTGAGAGCTTCCTCCTGGCAGCTCAGCTGAGCACACGTGACCCACCAACCCTCCCAGAGAAGACTTATCTCCACCCTTACAACAACATCATGCTAGAGCATTGTGTCTTGACAGCACCAAGCCCTCTGCCAACTGGCATTAACTTATGTTATTCTCCTTTTGCATCAAACCTCATTAAATATCAAACTGAATAGTTCTTATGGGAGCTCCGCACTTTGCACTTTCCAGCATGCTGCTATGTGTTGCATCACTGTGTGGTAATGTGGTAGCTTTTCTCTGTCCCCAAAGGCTGCACTTTTTGACTTTGAATCTAAGCAGCTGAGGAAATATCAGCTCCTTTTGTTACATTTTACCTGCTGAAATTGGGACTACTGATAAGAATTTAAAGTACAAAGTTTTACAAAATGATTCCAAGTCATCCTACCTAAAATTGTGAGATTTTTTAAGAGAAAGATATTCCAGGAAGGGGGCATGCACATTGTCAGTTATCCTGCGACAGTGCTTTAAAACTACATAGAAACATTAAGTTATTTTCTGGTCAGTAGAGGTGACAACAGTAACTGTTGGCTACATTGTATATGCAGTATGACCTCTCTGAGGTCCATCAGTGTTAAAGCTTATTGGCGCTTAACAAATGTTGTGACCTGTGTTTATCAGTGTTTGTCACTATATACCTGAGGAGACGAGTACAGCAGGCCAGTGAAGTCATGCTGCACTATGGCTGCGTTTCCTGGAATGTCCCTGGCTAACACTGGTACCTCGAGATCCATGGCCTGTTGGAGCAGAGAGATTAAACACTCAAAAGTCAAAGAGATTTACAATGTCACAGACAAAACTTACACGCACGCAAGACTCACTCATTCCATCAGTCTTACGAAAATCACCAAAGCACCTTGGAAATCGGCTATTCTGCTCTTCGGTGCCTCAGTTCACTTACAGAATTAACTATCTCTATCAGCTAATACCTTCAGCAGGTTGCTGAGTGAAACATGCTAACACACTAATCAGACCTAAAGCCTACTGTGGTTTGTCTTAATCGACTGTTTAAAAGAGATTAAGTGGATTTGCAGGTTTTGCTCACTCAGGAATGGGAAGATTGGAGTCATGCAATTAATTTGGGTAATTGTCCCTGAAGTGGTCAGATAACATTGTAGCTGAGTGAGAACCAGTGAGATAAGAACTCCTGTAAATATTCACATAGTTTAAATTTTTCAATGGCTTTGGGTGGCAAATTCTCAGTACATACTTTGATAAACCAAATTCTCATTACCACAATAATATTCTGCATCCACAGTACATGAGCTATAAAAAGATAAAACTGTGTTTAGCGGCTGAACTGTTGAAATCAGGATATGCTACTGTCCAGTTTCCCGTGAGCCCTGAAGATGTTTACCTCCAAGATGGCTGCTGACATGCCCTCTGAGATGGAGCTGTTGACCACGGCGCAGCACCTTTTCATGGCGGCATGAAGCTCCTGTTGGCTCTTCTCCTGGGCCAAGAAGACCCCTGCTGTTCTGCAGAAGCAGTGGAAAAGCTTATTTCTGCGTGACTCAGGGCTCACAGAGGCATGAATGATGCTAAAGGGCAGTGACAAGCTCAGGGCAGGAAACACAGCTGCGCTATGTGTGACATTAGCAGAGAGTCCAGGTAAAGTCCTAACCAGAGAGGGCAGCTTTCTGCCGCAAAAACCTTTGTTGTGGTGAAGGCCCTTGGCGAAAAACTGAAAGATCAGCCAAGACCCGAGAGTGGGAGGACAGATAAAAAAAGAAAAGAAAAAGAGACTCTTGGAGCTCCCCTCAGATTTACATTCAGTTCACATTATGTCAAGATAAGTGTAAGCTACATTTGCCTAGATATTTTCTTGTGCCACATGGGATAAATAGAAGGATAAGCAGTCTTCAAATTTCTCACAGGAACAAAGTCTTGGCAATTAGACTGTCAGATCTCAATGTTTCTTTAATGTGATAAGTAAGTGATAAACAAAACAAAACAAAAAAAGAAGTCTTACCTTTTAACAACATCTTCCACTTCAACAGTAAGTACAGGATCAATCTAAGAGACACAGAAACATTACAAAGACAAGTAAAACTTTTTTTCATAAAAGTCCTATTTTCATCAAGAATGCCAGCAATGACTTAATCGGGATGATAATATAAACAATGTCACAATTAATACTTTCTGTCATCAGCAAATCATTCTCTGAAAGTCCTGTATTTTCAGAGATTAGGGTCAGGGTGGGGTGGGTGGCCAATCTGATTAATTGCAATGTGGGATTTGCGTGCATTAGCTGGTCCACTGAAAAGTCAAAGCATAGCAATTTAGGTCAAAGATGCTACCAAGCAAGCTGCTACTTTTTTCTCTTACATGTTATAGCTCATTATATTTCTAAATGGAATCTGCTGCAAAGCATGTGTGCATTAAAATCAAAGATTTTATTTTTGTGTCCTGGTGTAATCTGGGATTTAGCATACTGACATTGTAAAATCGGCAGGGGATATAGATCACGATAAAGGCAGTATTAACAAACAAATGATTTAAGCGCTGTACTGATTCTGTACTATTCCATGGTGGGAAAGGACCTGGCCAGTCAGAAGAGAAAGGCTATATCGATGTTTTAGTTCTACCAAGTGAATCTGTCATACCTTTCCTGTGTTGAGATAATGGCATTACTGTTTTGTCATTTGCCGTATATTTTCTTGTTTTAATCAAAACAAATTTGCTGCAAAAGCCAGCTAATGCCCAATGATCTAATATTACATTTTTAGAAAAATCTTGAGGAGTATTTTATTCAATAATACAAATACAAAATAGGAACAAAGCTGCACACTGTGGTGTATATTAATGCCCAGTTACAGATGAGTGAGATGTGTCATTGCTGACAAACTGACCTGATTTTTCCTCTTAATGGCAGATGTCGTGCAACCAGAGCGCTTATTACTTGAATGAAGTAGCTGTGGATTTATGGTACGACATGACAGTCTGAGCAGCGCAAGACTCACTCAAACTTCCATTTTGTATTTTTTTTTTTTCTTCATTTCTTCATTTTGTATTTTTAGATCTTACTGTTACAGCTTTTGTTTAACCAAAGGTGGAACCCAATAATTATCAAGGGAAAATCTGGTGGTTACAAATAATTTATTTTTTCTAACAAACAAAGAAACAAACAAACAACCACTCTGATTCAGGGGTGTCGAGATGAATCACACGTCTCTGCTTCCACTGAACCATTTCATCAAACAACAACAAAGCGTGGCGGAGCAAAAAGCGGCAGTAAGACCATGTAGAAGCCCCTGGCCATGTCTAATTGAGTTGTTTTTGAACAAAATCAAAAATAAAATCAAGCAGAACATACCTTTTGCCTGACACCACTGTTTGTTTAAAAAAAGAACAGACACGAAAACACTGTACATTGATGTCATATCAAAACAAGTCAGGAGGTGGAGAAGATGAAGACATACATAGAGAGAAATCAATGAGCGAGAGATTGGAAATTATAAGGGCAAAAAAGGAACAGTTATAAGAGCACTGTTGTTGCTGCTGATTAATATGACTTATATCTACAATACTAAGCAGAGACAAAAAAAGTTAAATGTTTAAAAACTGACTGGTTGATTTATGAATATTGTAAATCATAGCAGAATATCTATGTTCAATTGCTTTTTCCCCCAATTATTTTAAATGCTTGACATAAAGCCACGTAACCTGTCTTCAAGAATGATACACAGGACAGAAGCATGATGGTGTGTGACAGGGCAACAAAATGCTTCAGCTGTCATTTATACCAGCACATGTCCAGATAAATGCCCATCCCTGTGTAATAAAATGAAATAGCTCTATACAGGTCACCAGTCAAAGGCAAGTGCTACTGTAGAGTAAGGAAATGCATCAGTATATCAAGCAGTTAGCCAGTTACACACAAAAAGAAACACGGCCACTACTGCCGCTGCTGATCCCTTGCAGTGTTTGCAGAAGATTGCCATTTCTGCCTCACAGTGTTAATTCCAGCTAAAGAGCTAAAGCCAGTGTCTCTGCTACATCCAATTAGAGGCCGCCTGAATTTCCAGGGATAGTTTCTAGGTAAAACAGTCATGGTAGAGAGGGAGACACACGGCTGATATGAAAACAAAATCCTGATTTACTGTATAACGACTGTGTACTTACCTTTGGCCCTATAATGACCAATACATTCAGTGGATTCTCATAATGCCACTCTGAAAGACAGAAGATAAAACCGTTTGGGCGGAAAAAATAAAAAGCAGCAGCTTCCTCATAAGCAGTAAAGCTGTTTTTGAATTTTGAAACAATTGCTTAGTGCACCATATGTTTGTGGTTTGTAAAAATATCATGTGAAAATCCACACATCTAGTTCTCTGGATGAAACATTAATATACAATTTGACGCCCTCTAGTGCTGTCTTATTACCATAACCGTGTGCTAGAAAAGTCACATAAAATAAAAGAGGATTAAAAAAAGAACCCACTGATGATTCTTATCAGTGGCAATTCTCACATTAGATACACAGATATGTAAGATAGTCTCAGAGGCTTTCGTCACCGATAAACACCATGAAGGCAAGACTCAAGTGTGTTTGTGGGGACAACTTAAACTGTCAGAATAATCTCATTGCACTTTCACATAAATTTTCAATTAGCTGAAACTCAACTGCACAGATCTAACCTCATTCCTAATTGATGAGGACATTTCCATGGCCTCTACCACAGGCTACACAGAAATACAGTCAGAAAGGTTTTGTAATTTTGTGTTTTACCTGAAATTACGAACAGGCTGAGAACATGCCAGCAAGAAACACGACCTCCTCTCTTTTAGCTGACAGTTGAAATATTTCTTGACAATAAGTTAGTTTAATGTTTTTCATTACCAGTAAATATATAAAATACTTGTAAACATGATGAATTACATGGTATACCTGAAAAAACCTCTACAAGATAGAGGGGATCCTTGACTCTTCTGAGGCCACAGACCAACAGGAAGACAGACAGCTCATCCACATGCTCGCTGCTTACACCTGGAGAGAAGCCAGACACACAGAAAGACAGCACCACAATATCAAAACACTGCATAATGAACATCCCAAGTACATCGGCAGATAATGAAAGCAATACATCACCCAAGGTCATGAGGAAAATAAGACAGCAGTGACTAATGTGTTCGCACAATTCTCTGATCAGAGTTGTAACACTCAGCAGGGAAACAGTCTGCTGAAAACATTGGAAGGTTGTAGCCATTGTGTAATATGGCATCCCAACTATAGAGCCAGTGTTTTTGGGAGACAATTTGCTCACTTAACAGTCCTAGTTTAGAATTAGCCAACCCAACATGGCTTTATTTGAAAGGCAGTGCCACCAAATCAGCTCTTTTTCTTGATCAGCCAACTTTCACGATCAATCCAGAGATTATTAAAAAATCACACTCACCCCTTAAAAATATAATCAAGAATCTTTTAGTAACATTGAGGTGAGAAATCAGGCTCATGTTCACAATGATCTATCAGTTGCCAGCACCTCCAACCCTTAAGTACACAATGTACTTTTTTCTCTTTTAGCTAACATGCTTGCAGGTATGTTTTCCATGTTCAGCATCTTGGTTCGTGCAGACTACTTTCAGCGTCAGCCGATCGCCGTGCTGTTAAGACTACACAACTTGCCTTCTTGTGACGGGAGTCTTGAAATCTTTGTGGCGTTCACACTAAGTGACTGATCGGTGACAGGGGGTTGCACACTACACGAGCTGACAACGGCTGTGTCACCCCACGCTGGTCTCCAAGAAAACACACGTGAAATGTGAAACGTGAAATGACGCGAACCTGCAGACAAAACAGCTGTTGTTTGTTATTATAAAGATACCAATTATAAAGACCAAGAATATGGGTAAAATAATGGATTAGCACACGCAGGTAGCGGGGAGCTACAGAGAGAGCTGGAGGTCAGTAAAAAGTGTTTTGCAGAGAAAAAGTAGCTGCATGTGTAACACCAAAATCTGTGACCTATCAGATTCTGTGACTACACCCAAACAACGATGTTTTCCTAACCCATAACCAAGTACTTTGGGTGCCTAAACCCAACCAAGTACTTTTGATGCCTAAACCCAACCAACCTACAACCGCTTCACATCGTCAACAAAGCCTCTGGCGCTTAACTTCCCATTTGGGTTACAGAATCTGACAGGTCACACATTTTGGTGTCACACCTGCTCTGCCGGCTGCCTGCTCTCATTGGCTGGATGTGGATGTCGAGTCGGCCAACTTCTCCAGATATTTGGCATGCTAGATATCTGGCACCTGTCCAAGGTGTACCGCGCCTTTTGCCTGATGTCAGGTGGGATTGGCTCCTGCCCCCCGCACCCCTATATGCAGGATAAGCGGTTGACGATGGATGGGTATCTGGCTGGTGTCTGCGATGTGTCAGGAAGCCGTGTTGATGCATCCTTGAGTAGTTTACACATAATAACTTGCGGCCACCGTGCTAGCTGAAAAGTTGAGGGATCACCAAGATCCTTACAATTTATCCTGAGGGGGACATGAATGTCATGGAAATCCATCCAATAGATCCAATTATTCAAAACCACAAATGTCAACCTCATGGTGGTGCTAAAGGAAAATTAAGGTTTTCACTGTCATTAGCGATACATCATCTGGGAACCATGACTATCTGCACCAAATTATGTGCCATATTGAGATATTTCACTGGATAAGCAAGGATTTTGACCTTATGAATTGTTCTCTTCACAAACCTCATGTTTGAGAACATTTCAATGTAACATCAATTTTAAAGCCATAATGCCCAGTTCTTTATAACGCCTAAGATGCAATCTTAAAAGTAGGTTGGTGTAAAGGCAACGCTTCAAGGTCGATGTCTGCTGGCTAAATAGAACAACATTCAATTATACTGAAACAAACAGATGTATAAGGATAATAAAGGATATTCTAACATCAGAGTTACCCAAGTGTCAGAAAATATATTTTTAATCCCTGTTTATGTGTTATAATGACCCAAAAAGATAAATCGTAATGTTGAGATGGTATTGCTGGCAAAGCAGTGTTAAACTAAAATCATACTAAAATGATTTGTGTCCGTGACAAACTGAAAAACAAACCATTTCGAAAATAATACCACAGACACACACACAAGCACGTGCTTAAAGCACAGTGACAGTCGAGTGAAATCCCCTGCTGCCAGATAAATCCAGATCAGGAGGCTGAGGCAGCTCTTTTAATGCTATTAAAGAGCATCTTAAAATGACAGAGTGGAGTCTGGGCATTGACCCTGATCCTAGGAGCTGATTGTCAAAAAAGCTCTTCATCTGAGGGATGTATCAAACTTCCTCGCATTAATTCGCAGGATGAGAAGGCACTTCAGCAAAGGGAAACAAACATGTCACGACCTCAAAACAAGATGCACGAATATAATGGAGTATAGCTGGAATCATACTAGAGCACAGACCTGTCAAAATGTGCAAGAAATTCAAAGAAATAAAAAAAACTAAAGCAAAGACAAAAAACAATTCATCTTTCCTCGGGGGACAAAACCAAAGTGGACAAATCATCTGTTGTGCCAGCAGTAATCTTTTCTCTCTCTCTCTTGCAGTGAGTTGTGAGTCTATGTAAAAGCCATTTTTGTTCAGAAGGGCATTCTGAACAATCCCTTAATGCTTTAATCAGTGTGTGTGCGTGTGTGAGTATATATGTGTGCACTAATGTGAGAGCACACATCTATCTGAACAGCTCCTATTAATCTGTTGAGTGGCTCAGGGTGACACAGGGAACAGATACTGATCGCACAAAATCATGACATGCCAGCGAAAAAAGAAGAAAAAAAAAACCGATATGTGCTAACAAAGCTACACAGGTAAGATGTAATAAGCCATTCTACTGTATATGTGAGATTTTAAAGCAGCTAGTAAGTTCCAAACAGAAAAGTGTTTGTGTCCAAATTGCAGGTGCATAAATCAGAAGATGCAGATTTTGCTAAGAGAGGTGAGCGCAGCATTTGGGTCTGCCAAAACAACTGAATGAACTACACAACATGGGGCTTGACACTTGCCTCCTTGATATAACAAACAGAAAAAAACAATACAGATCACATGACCAGCTGACTATGAAGTAACTGTGCTTGTGACCTAACACTTCAAGGTGAGCCAAGTATTCAGAAAAGTGCGTTTCAAATATCTCTAGCTGTAACAACACCTAGCTTTTTTTGCATGAGCAGGAGCTATGTTAGTTATCTATTTTTTATTTCTGCAACCGTCTGAAAACTCATCATAATGACTACGTGATCGTGTTCCCACCTGTCCCATCAGTTGACCTGACATCCTTTGATTTTTAGTCACCAATTCATACATGTACTTCACTGAAAGCTTCCCATGTAACTTATTCAATAATCGTCATGCTATTCCCCGAGGACCAAGTAACTGGACGAGGTAACAACAGTCCCCATGCTTGATTTCCCCTCATCCTACACTGATTCAACGCATCGCTGCTCACTCCACAGTGCTGTTCTTCATGTATCCCCTTATCCTGACCTCACAAGGCACACAGCAGGGGACACAAACAACATACACATATCCCAATGCTAAGGTCTGTGCCTTTGGAGGGTACATGACAACCAAAAGATAACACAGACACACATACAGTATTAGTCATGTATCTTCTGTCCGGTAGGAGGGTTGCTTTGCCTCTTTTATGTTCACTGCTGCCAGTGCAACACTAGGCCACACAGAATACATTTACTCCCACCATTCAAACCTCCACACACCTTCATTAAGCTAGCCTATATATAATCAACTGTAGATTTTGCTACTTAGTAATGATTCATTTATGTCACACAAGAATACTCACTTCTGTTAGACTTTGTTGTTGTGTTTTAGTTGAGATTGATTATTGAAGATGACAGAGCAGGTCATCACAGTTCAATAGGAGAACATTGGACTTTAAATCTTTTAGACAGCAGAAAGCCAGGACCACCCAATGAAAACTAAACAACAATGATTAAATAGTGTACAGCTTTACGCCAACTTCAGCACAGTTATCCCCACAAAAGCACATTTACAACAACTAATTATGGACTACAGAATCAGTTATCATTTTATTTTAACGTAACTCTCTGCCCTGAGATTGCATTGACTAGTCCCTACTACATACACACAAGTAAAAATACAGAGCATGTGTTGTCTTGCTAAAACAATGTGGTGATAACACTGGCAAGAAAAATACACATTTTCTCTTACTGATATTAAACATATCTGACCCACATCCACAAAAAATGATAAATTAACATCATCAGATAAGACATCTGCAGAGTGGATTTATTAGTCAGATTACAGTGATTTCATCAAAGCTCAACAGTAGTGACTCCTATTTCAGGTCTAACAAATGGAGAAGTGTCTGTGGGCAATTAGTATTACTTGCACTGGTTGTGAAGCGTGGTGACAAACGACTCCGGGCAAGAGAGCTATTAATCACTTGTCCCTCTGTGTTCCCAACAGTGCTCTCTATGAGCACTAATGTACCTGGGACGGACATCATCTTGCAATGTCCAATTTAAAGTCCAGGCTGTTTTGTGGAGAGATGCACCACTCCTGACTACCACATTGATGCATCTGAGGTAGAGCAGAGTAAATTTATGCTTTCTGATTAGTACTTTTCAAGTTGGGGGTGTATGAATGTGTTCCCTGTCGCGCTCCCAGTGGTGGCTCCACTGCCATGCACTACACAGTCTCTGACTAATAGCGGAGGTAAGGAGAGAAGGATGCTGTCTAGAATATGGCAGAGGGCTTTTATGTACAATACTGCAAACGGTTACAAATATGTTGCACTCCTGTGCATAGCTGGTCAAAATAACACCAGTAACACCTATTTTACATATTTCACTGTGCGGGTACCTCTGCGTTTCACAGCTAGAACACTGTATCTAAAATACAGTACAGCCAAAGTATGACAAGATAATAATAATACATTTGTTCTATTTACTTACTCTGGATGATCTGCAAAAAATCTAAATAAATAATCCTGAAAACAACCCAATGAAGTAGAAAATGTACCTGAGCTCCTCAAGAATTCAGTCCAGCAGAATTTCTCAGTCACTTCCGTCTGGATACCTTTAAAATAAACAGACCAATTAAAGGCATAGTGTTGTTGGTAAATGCTTTTACTCTACATCAATGCTAATAGCCAAAAAATATCTACTTGGTGTTTACTTAATATTATATTAAATGTAATAAATAAATTAGGAATTGCTTTTCTGATGTTGAACTTTATTGGTTATGTGACTAAAAATTAAAAACATCAATCACATCCTTATTCTTCATAACCTTTATTAATTACATTACTGTTGTATAAAAACAGTTCATTTAAAAGAGTTCATTTACAAAAACAGATAAATGAGATTCTTTGACACCACTTTGATTTATATTCCTTTGAGGACAAAAAAGAAAACATGATTTATGAAAACTAAATAATGTTGAGATATCTTATCAAAACAACCCAAAACCAGTATGATTGTTATTCCCTTAAGTGCACAAAAACAACACGATTCAGGAAAATAAATAAAAATGGAGATATTTGTATTTTACAAATGAACCCTATTATGTAACCTGTATGTAAAATTAACGAAATAGATTGATTGTATCTTAAAAACATTATTTTGTGTGGTCCATGTAAGAAGCACTTTATTGTGATCACTATCTGGTGACAAGCATGAAAAACAAGCTTCCACTGGTCCGGGCTCAGCCATGCAGCTGGCCCAAGGCTCTCCTCTAATCTATGAAGGAACACTATTTGCCAAACAAGGCTAGTGGTGGGAAACAACATGGAAGAGTGATTCGGGCTGTCCTACATGGCACGGTGGCCAATGGCAAGAGCAAATACAACTCTGTACTGCAGACAGCATGATAATGGAGGGAAAAATGTCAAAGCTGATTAATGCAACACTTCAATGGCGAGTCAGGGATGCACAGCATCAGGCAAGGATATTCATCCTGTAGAGCTTACCTTGGGGCTGGACATAGATTTTACAGCTCTGGGACAGCTTCAGACAAAAAAACATTGAGAAATTCTGGTTAAAACAAGTACCAAAGCATGAATACATATGTGTTTTAAATAAATCAAGCATTTGAAATGCCTGTTGATACAAATTACATTTGATTATTACTAATCGCGTCATTCTCTTTATGTCAGACAATAGAAACAACCAATTAACACTCCATGTGCTCCAAACATATTTAATCAAAACCCAAACTTTAAAAGAGTCAGGAAAGCAGTTTCTAAGATAATGGGTGCTACAAAATAAATCAAAGGGGATGGAAAGGAAATTGACTAGATGTTATCGCACTAGATCCATCCCCTATGTGTGTTTTCTGTCACAATAAAAAGCGTGGCATTGCCTCTCAGTGCCTGTCCTGTCTGCCTGCTGTCAGCACTAAATGGCAGAGATAAAGTGTGCCACTCGCCTCAATCTGCAGCCTACGGCAGGAATCTAATCTGAAAATAAAACACGGTAATATTGTTTTAATGGCAAACTATTACGGGACAGGGCAGGATATTGTGTTTATATAGTAAAAGCCCTTCTGTTCTATTTATTGAAGCTGTCAGGCTCCTGCTGTCTATGGATGTGCTATAAAATGCAAACAAGAAACTTTTGATCTCACTACTTGTTTTTTTCTTCATAGCTTTGTAATACATGGGTCAATATTGTGTTTGTGTTATAAATATAAATATCACTTATGACAGTCTTGTTAGTTGCTAATAAGGTGGTGCATGCAGCTTACCAGCATACTGATAAACTAGCAATACTAAGAATTAGACACATATAGACATTTTCTAGTAAAACGTAAATGAGTAAGAAACTGGTTGCAAACATATGCCACATTATATACAAGCTTGCACAGCTTCTTAATAGATATAAACTATTGCAGTTGGTCTATTCAAATACAAAAGAATTCAATACCAAAAATAACTCTGCATCTTCTTTCAGTTTGTCAGTAAATGCAACCGCAAACCTGATAAAAAATAAAAAACACATTATCAGCCCTGTGAACGCCTTTTCACTAAAACAATTATTTCCTTTGTTTTACGTTAAGTAAGTTTTAGCCTTTTACATGCAATGACAATTTTGACAACAATAGAGGAAAAAGCAGCGGTAACAACATAAAAATACAAAAGTCTCCAGGCTGAGACCGAGTATATGAGGGTAGAAAAAACTTTTTGTGGTTTGAAGGCAAAGGATTTAAGGATGAATACACCATGAATACAAAGAGGAACACAAAGGGAATATAGAGCAGAAAACTGTGGGGAGATAATAATTTGCACGTGTGCCCGTGCATTTTTAAATGGGCCAACGGGCTCAGAGTGGTGACTGAATTTCATGATCAAGGTTTGTGTGTGAGGCACTAACAGCGGGAGGTGTGTGCATTCAGATATTTGAAGTCATGAGACCTGGATCTCTCCAGTTCTCCCAGAAGGCAATTATCCCCTTAGATTTACTAGATGGATGCCCTACTCTCTATCTTCATCATAATGATAACAGAGACACCAGGGTCTGACGTCAGGGCACAGGACAAGATACTGATAAGCCTGTGAGCACATTAACTTTTCGATGTTAAACTAGTGGTGCAGAGAACACACAACCTGCACAGCTGGGGATGGGTTGAATGTGCTCAGCCTCATTTTTTCATACCAGTACTGGAGGCAATGAAAGATTTTGTAGCGATCCATTCCTTTTCTCTCCTTAAATAATTGATACCCATGTCACTATGGCCCAAATGCTACAAATTAATAGTTTCAATTGTCATGTAATTCTTATGGTGGAATATACAGCAGCCATACTAAAAGGACAAATGCTATACCTACATTTATACAGCCAACATGTGTGGTGAAATGGTAACATCCCATTTATTCCCACTGGTCACAAATCTGACAACAGTTTAGTTTTGAGCTTTTTGTTTTGAGTTCGTCCAAGCAAATGGTCACATTTACTTCCTGCTTGGACTTTAGGATGGTGACGTCTGCATCAAACCTCGAGGTAGGTAGGTAGGTTTATTGTCACAATATAACAAGTTATAGAGTGAAATTACTATGAAACATTACTAGAATACTTGGTACAAAGAATCAATAAAGTATCTATAAGTATTTATATAAGATAACTGTACTGCCAAATCACGTTCCTGACACTTGTTCAAGACCTGGCAGACGTTACCATGTCATAGCAGGACAAGCAATGGTGTAACTAATAACAATAGTGATTGCTTCATTCTATTTAAATGTCACATCAAAGCCGTGCCAGTGAATAAGCATGCACAATAACAAGGCCCTTGAAGTGCCCCTGCACTTTATAGTACAGCTCCCAGTTACATTGCTGATCTGCTGCTCCTCCATGAACCAGGGCCCAGCCTCAGATCCTCAGGCAGGGCTGTTACGGAGTCCCAGCTAAGGACTATAGGTGAACAGGATGTTGCAATCATGGTCACTCAGCTCTGGCAGGGGCCCGAGGATCTGAGGCTACATGGATTAGTAACATCTTTGAAATCACTTCTCCAAGAAAATGAATAAATAATAATAATTAAAAAAAATTCTAGCCAACATGTTTTATTCATTTTATTATTAATATTTTTTTTTATTTTGGGAACTTCAATAATTTTTTGTTAAATTTATTGCTGTACCTGTTATTGCCTGATTTTTTTTGTCCTCAGTCCTGGAAAGTTTTATCTTGCTTCAACCATGTATAGCACTTTGTTTTTGAAAAGCGATGAATAAATGAGGTTTGTTGTTATTATTATTATTAAAGTTGCATCTGTGCCTTTACTGCTATGAGATGTTAAAAAGTCTAAAGTAAAAACTACCCATTACACAAAATCTATTCTTTATCATGCATATTTATTATTACGCGGATTGTGACTGCTGTTCTCAACAGACGATGACAGTTGTCAAGTATAGAGCCCATATTATTTTACAAACTTCTCCAAAAACATTTCTTAAAAAGGCATGCTGTCTGTGTGATGTGTTGAATCAAGGAGTAAAATTAATGTACTCAATTGAAGCTATTTTTAGTAATTTGCAGCAACATCACCTGGCTTTCAGCAGCACCTGCTCCATAACCGCACGCTTCTGCTCGACTTTCACATCTTCATTTATGTCTGTACCGCCAAAGATAACGCCAAAGGGTACTTGGATATCTGGTGTAAAGGTTAGACATAAAACAGAAAGGTCCTGAACATTGACGGGTGGCAGTATACTTGTATGTCTACTATTATCTTGACAAATCAAATTACTTAAGGTAGAGATGAGTAAATAGATCATATAACACAGCAAGGATGTTTACCTAAGAGAAGTCTGCCTGCTTTGTACAGATGAATGGCCAGTGCACCCTCAAATGGAGGATTTCGAGATACTAAGTTTGCCACCTCAGCTGGAGACTGAAATTCTGCTGCATCTCTGAGCTCACAAGTGTGTCCTGCTGATTCAATGTGGGACCTAAAGTAAAAGACTCAGGTTGAGTAATATATAGAATATGGCTGGTAGGAAGGCAGGATGGTTAAGCAAACTTACAAACATTAAAACTAACTTTTATCTTAAAGGATTTTGCAGTTTTGTTTTGCTGTTATCTACACAGCTTCCTGCCTAGAGCTCCATCTTCCTGAATCAAGTTATATCTTATTTAACTTACTATAGCCAATGTACAGCAGGCAGTTTCACAACTACAGCTTTCTTTTGAGATAACACTGGTTAACAACTGATAACTACACTGTTACTGCCGAATGCAGCCTCACCTGGTAAATATTAACAACCTAACGTTAGCTACACTTAGCAATGATGTAAATTACCTTATCCTCTCAGCTGTAGTGCAGTTCCCTGTTTTGGGGCTGAGACAAGCAAGAAAGAGTATTTTCATATCTTCTCTAAAGGCTGGTCTGACGAACTAACATGTAACTAAACATTAGTTAAAACCAGATGGAATAAATGCAGCAAGCCGAGCCGTGTGTGCTTTTTTTAGTATGCTCGCTAACCTCCTATCACATTTCCTGAACGCATACCTGCCAGTTACACGTAGAGCAAAAAGCTACACGCGAGCACCACAAGTCTAGCCCATCAAACATGTTTACAAGTCCGTCGCCTATATGTTCCCCGGGAAACACATGACGGTAGCGCGTACTGTTACAGCCACTCTCCAGGCCCATTTCAGTGTTTTGTCTCGAGACCACCATTTATGTCCCACACAAACACCAACTCGCCACCTCTTCTGACAAGTTTGTCGATGCCAGAATCCGCGACAACAAAAAAAAACAAAAAAAAAACGCAGGACCACTTCCTTCTCTCGGCGGTTTAACCGCCTGCGGAAACGGAACTAACATCCAAATCACATAGATAGGCTGCAGCTCGCATTGTTTTACACGGCACGTCGGGTCCCTTGCACTTTTAGATCGGTTCCAGAAGAACGCAAGTGCGACAGTTTGTTGCCTGAGCTGTCACGCGGTAGTACTGTGACACTGTTTTTTTTTTTGTTGACTTCCAGTTCTCCTTTGAGAAAGTAATGATTTAAGACGAGACAAATCAGACACTTAATGGAGATAATTAAAGAGCACTTGGACGCGTTTCAATAACTAAAGGTAATGCAAAATTCAAACTCTTACCAAACTAACGTTGCGCTAAAGCTAGCTTACTTAAGGTGTGTAACGTTAACGTTAATACCAAGTGCCTATGTTAACTTATTAATGATGAGGAAATGGGCTCTCCTTGGGCAAATCAGACAAAAATGTAGCTGTCATGTCTGTGTAAACGGTGATGACAGCATTTCATTAACCTGTTTAACCTCTGTTATTTTCTTTATAGGTCTGAACGCTTACTAATAAAGAAAAACCCAACCCCTTACGTTGGTTCAGAATGGCTAACAACAGGGATGCCAATGAGAGCACCCCTCTCTTGGACTCAGATTCTGGGACCATACCTTCACCACCATCAGTTTTCCAAGGAAGAGGACTGGCGTGTGCTGCCATCCTGCTGGCTGAATCATTAGAAAGGATGGCATTCTACGGCATCACATCCAATCTTGTGCTTTTTCTCAATAGTAATCCCTTTTATTGGGAGGGCACTCAGGCGAGCCAGGCGCCTCTGATGTTCATGGGAGTTACCTACCTGATTTCACCATTTGGAGGCTGGCTGGCGGATGCATACCTTGGGAAATTCTGGACAATTGTTTCAAGTTTGATCCTATACTTTATTGGCATGCTATTTTTCCCTTTCATTTCAAATGAAGACACCAGGATAAACCTATGTGGAGAAGAGGTGGCATTTCCTGTGCAACCTGCTGAGTGTCTGAGCACAAACAGTACCCCTCCAAGCAATGTGACCTGCCCCATTCGCAGCCCATATTGTGGCCCAGTAGTTTACAGTGCACTTTTTTTAATTGCATTAGGTGTGGGTACTGTGAAGTCCAACATCACTCCCTTTGGGGCAGATCAGGTAGAGTATGAACAATTTTACTTTCCGATCTCACGGTCTGTAATATATAAATGATGCTGAAAGGAGACACAGAGTTCATTATAGGCTAAAATGTCTTTGAATACATATTCTGACATAAGCCTGAATGGATTGGGTATGCAGTGTGACATCTGGGAGGTCAGACATGTGATGGGATTTCTGCTGCCCCATGACAAATTCACTTAGACATTCATGTTCATGCCATTGATCATCATGGTCACTTCAGTGTTTCCATTATAAAGCTGACATTTCGGAGCATAGCGTAGAGTTAGTGATCTTACCCTAATGTACACACGGACGCAAACAGCCAAGAACAATTCCTTGTATGATACTTTAGTGGTAATGAGAAGTGAAACGCAACACATCCGTCAGTTTGGCAAGAAAATAATGTCAGATTATCCAGAAGAGCTTCTAGAAGAAGCAGTCATAAAAATAGAAAAGTTCATAAATTGGGTCATTGTTTTTGAGTGGGTAAAATCTTTCAAAGGGGTTTAGTGGGAGAATAAGAGTTGCCCACTACACTCATTACAAGATTTTAACAGTTCTGTCAATGCTCCCTTTGATCATGTTCAACCACACACAATACAAAACATCAAGCAAAATCCATACATTGGAGGAAAACAAAAGAGAAACACAAAAATGGGTACATTTTACAGCAGCACACAGCAGAAAAAAACAGCAACCTGTGGAATAAATGAGCTACATTTTTGCTGGTGCCAGTGACTGTCAAGCTAAAATCATTATAAACATGACAAAATATGGATTTTTTTTTTACGAGTACTGAAGATGTAATGTCAACTGCATCTCTTCAAAACACAATTTTCTCTCTAATCCTCCTCCAGCTGAAAGTCCTAATTAAGTGGCAGTGGGAGCTGTTAATGCTTGAAATTTGCTCGGTTTGAGTAAAACTGAAGATTTCTTGTTACATTCGGCTTGAACTCTGTCTAAGAAATAATTGCACCCTCTTGCAGTGTGAAAATTGCCATAGTGAATGTTGTGAGTTTATTTTGTTTTTGTATTAATATGCAACTTGAGCATATTATTCATAAAGTTACAGTTTTACTGGGGCTGCTAATGCGGATGTGTAGGCAGGATAATGAAGGGAGGAATCTGTATTTTTGTTCTTTTATGAGTCACTGCAGATTTGCAGATTATTGTAATATTTACTGATCATATTCTGTGTTTGATGGAGGATCAACACTGAAACAAGATACTCAATTAAATGGTTGTCTTGTCCTGATAAAGGCTAGAGGGAACTTCTTTTGTCAAACATTGAGGTACAGTAGGAGCTACAAAGTATATTATTTTGAAATGTGTTATAATGCAGTTGTTGGCAACACATGGCAATCAGGTGGTCAGTTTGAGCTTTTTAACTACACTGCACAACTCCAGAAAGATTTATGCTTAGCATCGGCTTGTGAATGCTGTGACATTATCTCCCAAGTAGTTAATTGTAGCTGTACTGCTGCATTATTTCTTCTCATATATAAAAGACATATCCACTTCATCATGCATTGATAAAATCTTTTCCTCCACAGGGATAACTTCATGTGGAATAGATCAGTGCCATTATGAGAATAATATTATTTGCCCTCATGGGCCTTTAACTGAATTTATTGCAGTTTGGTAAGCTAATGGCGTCTACAGGCTATCATAGCAAATTCTGTAAGAATGCTCAAAGCCACAGTAGGCAGATAAAGAATAAAACAAAAGTTGCTGTTTGTTTTGGTTAGCCATCCCCTACATACCTTTAAAAACTCTTGTTGCCTTATGCTTCTGTTGATTTCATGAGGCTTTAGATATCCCAGGGAACCACAGAGCTTCAAAAATACATCACTATTAATTACATTATTATCACAGTAATTTAAGCCATTTTATGAGTGAGTAATGAAATGAGATGTCACATCCCTGTCAGTTTCAGCTTGTGATCACGGTTCCTCTTTGTCAGGGCAGTTTGTCTTTTCTTTCATGTATTGTCAGGATTTTTAAGGTCAGTCTTTTTTGTAGTTACAGCTGCCATTTAAATGCGTAAGATAATTATTTTCCTCATGTGGTTTTGAAAACTTGCAAGGGCTGATGACCACACTCCTTTTAATCTGACAAATCAAACTGGTATAACTCACAAATGTAGCAATGTTAAGACTGTCGTTTTTTGAGACACTTTTCCCTGTATGTGTGAACAACTTTTAATGACATGACTGGTTGCTGTCATCCTGCACCATGTTTGATCTTAGGTCAAAGACAGAGGGCCAGAGGCCACTCGCAGATTCTTCAACTGGTTCTACTGGTGCATCAATTTAGGAGCCATCTTGTCTCTTGGAGGTGTGGCCTACATCCAGCAAAATGTCAGCTTTGAGCTCGGCTACATCATTCCCACTGTGTGCCTCGGGGTCTCCTTCCTGGTCTTTCTCCTGGGACGTACCGTTTTCATCACCAAGCCTGCTGATGGCAGCGCCTTCACCGACATGTTCAAGATCCTGGGATTCGCCTGCTGCTCCCCAAAACCAAAGGAGCCTTACCTGCTCCGGTCAGAGCATTTACAATTATTAATTTAGCTGACGCTTTTATCCAAAGTGACTTACAATTGCTATAGATGTCAGAGGTCGCACGCCTCTGGAGCAATTAGGGGTTAGGCGTCCTGCTCAGGGACACATTGGTGGATGTGTCACAGTGGGGAATTGAACCCAGGTCTCTCATACCAAAGGAATGTGACTTATCCACTACGCCAAACAGATGACATAAAACTGTATTGTCAGACCACAAAAATTGGTAAATTCAGTCCCTCAATGACAAAAAACACGATCACAATAATTGCATTCATCAATCTCAGTGGGAAGGCTCTTTCAAACAGGGTAAAAGTATTTTGAGTTTAAGTTTAGTCAGATGGTGACTCTGATCCAGGGGAATAACACAGCTAGATGTTGTTGGTAGACCTTTCTGTTAAACCCTTCTTTGATCCCCCGGTATAATTCTTTTTTTCCCCTGCTTGGTCCAAGCATTCATCTTCATTCCCTGTGGTGAAAAGTTATTCTGAAGTGATCTTACTTGACTTTGAACCAAAGTAGCACAATTGGTTCAAAAACTCGACATTGAATATTTTAAATTGGCCAATCCCGCAGCCTTTCAAGAATTCCTTATTAAGACATTTTCTCCAGAGATGGGGATTATAGGCTTTAGAATAAAGTTTTTTCCCCTATCTCTAGAAGTGCTGTTATTTAAGGGTAAGATGTTCACAAAAAGGCTGCTTAAGTCTCACACTTCCAAGAGTTTAGAATACTTCTAGTGTATCCTGTATTTATTTACGTGTTTACTTTTATGCCTTTAATCACACTGTAGTTTTAAATATTATTTTAGGTTTAAGGTTGTTTTTGATTTTTTTTATTCCTATAAAGCAATAAACCAACACTACTAGACAGTGCCAAAGTGACCTATGGAGGAACATTTCCAGAAGAGAAAGTAGAGGAAGTGAAAGCCCTGATGAAAATCCTGCCCGTTTTCTTAGCCCTTATCCCATACTGGACTGTGTACTTCCAGGTAAGTTCAACCCATTTTAAATTGAGTCATAATGTATGAGCCACGTTTCACACAACATGAAAAATGTGAAGGAATGTAATATGGGAATTTAGGCTTTCTGGATACAGATAAGCACACGCATGTGGTAATATGAGGGAAAATTATTTTCTGATTCAATATTGGAGAAGAATGGTTTTGCACTAGATATCCTGGTGATCATAAAGTGGAGAGTTACTTCGCGCTGAGACGCTAATCTCCTTATTGTGTTGCAGATGCAGACAACTTACGTCCTGCAGAGCCTCCATCTGAGGATTCCTGATAGTGCCTCGAACAGCACTGCTGACCTCCACCAGGTAACCTAAAGTCCAAGTACCTGTTTGTTGTTTAATTAAAAAAATTGCATCCTTGTGGTGACATCTGTGGCTTGACATTGTGATTTGTTTTTCCCAACCAGCAAAGGTTGGTAACGCCTTAATTAAGTCAGGCGTACCTGTGTCTTAGTCTGACTGATTGTATGTTATATTTTGGATGGCTTTGATGGCTGAAACCCCTCAGTTACTCCACGTGATACATGGCTTAAAAATCTATGGTTTAAAGGTGATGAAACTGGAATAGACAAAGGAGTGTAGTACGTATATGATATGATTTTATTCAAGACACATAGAGACAACACACTATATATATATATATATATATATATATATATATATATATATATATATATATATATATACATACATACAGTATCTCACAAAAGTGAGTACACCTCTCACATTTTTGTAAATATTTGATTAAATCTTTTCATGTGACAACACTGAAGAAATGACACTTTGCTACAATGTAAAGTAGTTAGTGTACAGCTTGTATAACAGTGTAAATTTACTGTTTGAGGTGTGTTTGGGGTTGTTATCATGTTCAAATACTGCGCTGCGGCCCAGTCTCAGAAGGGAGGGGATCATGCTCTGCTTCAGTATGTCACAGTACATGTTGGCATTCATGGTTCCCTCAATGAACTGTAGCTCCCCAGTGCCGGTAGCACTCATGCAGCCCCAGACCAGGACACTCCCACCACCATGCTTGACTGAAGGCATGACACACTTGTCTTTGTGCTCCTCACCTGGTTGCCGTCACACATGCTTGAGACCATCTGAACCAAATAAGTTTATCTTGGTCTCATCAGACCACAGGACATGGTTCCAGTAATCCACATCCTTAGTCTGCTTGTCTTCAGCAAACTGTTTGTGGATCAGTTTGATGCAGTGTCTGAGCACTGACAGGCTGACCCCCCACCCCTTCAACCTATGCAGCAAGGCTAGCAGCACTCATACATCTATTTCCTAAAGACAACCTCTGGATATGATGCTGAGCACGTGCACTCAACTTCTTTGGTCTACCATGGCGGGGCCTGTCCTGTTGAACCGCTGTATGGTTCTTGGCCACTGTGTTGCAACTCAGTTTCAGGGTCTTGACAATCTTCTTATAGCCTAAGGCCATCTTTATGTAGGGGTTTCCTTGCCATGAGGGGCCATGTTGAACTTCCAGTGACCAGTATCAGGGAGTGTGAGAGCGATAACACCAAATTTAACACACCTGCTCCCCATTCACACCCGACACCTTGTAACGCTAACGAGTCACATGACACTGGGGAGGGAAAATGGTTAATTGGTCCCAATTTGGACATTTTCACTTAGGGGTGTACTCACTTTTGTTGCCAGCGGTTTAGACATTAATGGCTGTGTGATGTGTTATTTTGAGGGGACAGCAAATTTACAGTTATACAAAATGCATACTCACTACTTTACATTGTAGCAAAGTGTCATTTCTTCAGTGTTGTCACATGAAAAGATATAATAAAATATTTACAAAAATGTGAGAGGTGTACTCTCTTTTTCAGCAGGCACGCTTCAAGTGAATGCAAAGTGCGCTGACTTCATGGAAATATGAAGTGAAACACTTGCCTGTTAACCACACAATCTGACCAAGTGTTGTATAAATGCTATATACAGTATATATTCTTACATTTCACAATTATATGTGTTTGTGACACCGACATGAAACTGACATAGTTTTGTTTACTCATTCCACTGTGTTTAACTGCGTTTGAGAACTATATTAGAATTTTTTTCTTTTCTTCCCTTCACACACTATTTATCTTAAAATACGGAACTAAGCCTCTTCTGCTACCAGCTTTGACACTTCTCAACATCAAAAAGGAAGTGAGATTAGGTGCCTCTGTGTTTTTCTCCCTCACATCACCTGACACATTTCATTGGCTAAGCCGAGCAAGTACTCTTCTCTTGAAGGAAACAAAGCACATACTAATAATAATAACTGAGAATGTGAGGCATGTGAGTGAATGTGCTGTAATTAGTTATAATTAGATTAGGTCTTGAGATTACTACTCTGTTGTAGTGACATGTATTTTACGTACAGTAAATGCTTTTTGGCTCTTTGCATTGGTAATGCTTTGAATTACATTGTGGAAGGTGGGTTTATTTTTGATTTTTTAATATATTTTTTTATTTTAGTAGCACAAAGACACATAAATATATTTAAAAATACACTGAATTATGTAGGAGAGGTAAGAAACCCCCAAGGGCTTACAGTGAAACCTCCCCTCTGGCTTTTCAATTGATATTATACAAAATTATTATAGAACTAAAGATAATAATAACAATATTGACAAACAATTTAACAAAACATACACAACACACATATTGAAATTTTAACCATGACATAAGTATTGACTTAATGGATGGACTGGTTTTGATAGAAAGGGGAATAGTATTCCAAAGTGACGGTCCTCTGTATTTTAAGGAATTTTGGCCAAAAGTTGTATGATAATAAGGGAGATGAATATTCTTTGCTTGTCGGGTTGGATATGAATGGACATCAGAATTAGTTGAAAACGTTACGAAATACTTCTGGTAGGCTATGATTTTGAACCATACATTTATACATAAAGATGAATGTTTGATAGATATTAATGTTGAAAATGGATGAAATATTTCATGTCTTAAACAGAGGAGTTGATGGTTCATACCGATTTGATGTAGTTGCCAATTTTAAAAACTTTTTGGATCAAAATTATTTTTGGAAGAGAAGAAGGATAATTACTGGCCCAAATAATATTATAGTACGAGATGTATGGATACAATAAACTATAATAAAGATTTAAAAGACAGGATTGATTTATCAATGAACAAACTTTTCTAATGATGCCAAGTGACTTCATGATTTTCCCACACACATAGTCAATGTGGTTTTTCCATGATAGTTTTTATCTACTAATACACCTAAAAATTTTGCTAACGTAACTTTGTTGATTTCAGTACTGTTAACGAATAATTTAGTATCTTCTTTTAAATATCTTTTATTTTTACTTTTTAAATTTAAAACTACCTTTTGGCCTGTGACCTTTATATATAAAGTAAAGTCAACTTACAGACCCTTTTCATTATCATATATTCCTATAAGCCGTACAGCCGTATTTTAAGCAGAGATTGATTTTTATCTTCTCACTTTGTTTCATTTTAATAAGTTTTCCTGCCAGAAGAAGTAAAACTACCCAGTATTCCACAAAAAAGCAATGATTAGAAAATATCTTGAGCTCCTAACATGGGAACCATGATGTAGAGAGAGTGTGTGTGTGTGTGTGTGTGTGTGTGTGTGTGTGTGTGTGTGTATATGTATGTATATATATATATATATAAAATGTGTGCATTTACATATGTATGTCATCCTTTTGGTGAAGTAGAAAAAGCAGAACATCATGCCCACTACAGACCTGGGCCTGCTGGGAAACCTCAGTCATTCATGCCAGGCTTTCCTTGGCAAAGGAAAATTCTCACTTCATACTTTCTATCATTTTGAATATGATAATGCACAAACAAGGGAGGAAAACACTCTCTGAGGAGCTGCGCATAGATAGCCAGCGGTTACTCCCAGAAATGGAAATTCAATTTGAGAATAAATGATGCTATCAGAAGTGTTAAACCAGAGACACATCAGGAGCTCTGATGGCACTTGGAATTTGAATTGCAAAAAAACATCTCCTGCAGTTTGCAATCTTTCATGGCTCACTCAATGAGATATTGCCTTAACTTGTTGGTACTTTGTGTGTTCACAATGGATTTCATTCAGTCTGTTTGCACAGTGTAATTATTCATTTCATATGTTACACTTTATGGTAATAGATTTAGATTTGTGCTGAAAACTTTCAGTTTCTTTTTTTGAAGTACTCTTTGTCTTTTGTTCTACTTACACATTTTATAGATAAGCATGTAAAACAATACTACTACTACTTATGATGATGATGATGATGATGATGATGATAATAATAAAAACAAAATCAAGAGTATAATAATGCTAATTCTACTATGTACTTACTAATAATGTATTTGACTGTATGCTTTCTTTACCGTGAATTCACTATTTATAATTTCATTATGTTTGTTTTTGACCACCTGGGGGTGCCAAAGCAATATCAAGCCCCAAGTATACACACTGTCACACACACCTGCACACATACACTTGGTGAACTCTGTTGGAATGCACTGACATTCTCCAAAGTTTTCATGCTTTGTTGCTTTTTGCACAATTTTACCTCATCTTTCTTCTCTGGACCCCCCAGATGACGTTCCGCTTCCCGGCCGCCTGGCTCACCATGTTTGATGCACTGCTCATCCTTATGCTGATTCCCCTTAAGGACAAAGTGGTGGACCCCATCCTGAAACGCCGTGGGCTGCTGCCTTCCTCTCTGAAGAGGATTGCAGTGGGGATGTTCTTTGTTATGTGCTCGGCTGTAGCAGCGGGTGAGTGCACTAACAGACATGTCCTCTCTTTGCTGTCGCATAAGTAGGCCAGACAAACTCTAATGAAACAACAGAGTAAGCTCTTGTGGTAAATGCCACATGCAATCAGTTCTTCCAAGGCAATGAGCAATGCAGCTGTAGTGCATCATTTACATCATTTATTAAATTTAATTCTAAATATTGTTTTTGGAGATATAACATGCTGTCAATATGTCAGTTCCTCACAAAATGTGGCTGGCTATATGGGGAGTATTGTTGCTAAGGCATTTTTTGATCTGCTTTATGTATGATTTGGGTATAATTTCAACACTTGGTTGCCTTTACTGCACTGCTCTGGAGTTTGCCTTTTTTCCTCGCCCTGTAGAACAGAGGGGGAGCTGTGGCGTCTTACTTTTTGGTCCTAAGTGACTGCACCCACATGCGTCAGTGCTGCTCAGCCCTATTCACTTCCAGCCTGTGGATTATTTTGAAAATAAAGTCTCAGCCAGGCCTGACAGCGAGTGCTGCTGCATTGATACATTCAGGCAAAATGTTTTGAGAGAGACAAGCCTGGAGGCAGGAAGAAAGCAAATCAGTAACACTCCTTAGAATCACTGCACATTATATTTTCCACAACCACTGGCCTTTCTCAGATGCACAATACATCCACCACATAGAAAATGAACATATTCTGTCATTTGTGACCTTTCAGATATTTACTGGTGTGCTTTAACCAGATTGCCAATTGACTGTTAAACATGCACTGAATCACATTTGACAACAATTGTGAGGGATAATTACATTTTTGAGTAAATATGAATGAGGAACTAGCACATGTAGAGGTTCAACATTTTAAATAAAACAAATAATATAATCTTATTAGCTTTTTCATTAGAAAATTAAAGTACCTATTAGAGGCCATGTTGATTGTTTCAGATGATTTTAACAAGTGATTTTACAGTCCAGACCACAAAGCTCCAACAAATATTTCCATAGATGCCATTTGAGCACAACAACAATATTAGAGATAAGTTGCCATTTTTTTCTATCTGTATGCCGCTTGAGCAGCTCCATGAGTGCACTTTGCAAAAAGACTACTGGAGTTGTCAAATAAATACTAAGTGTGTCATGTCATATTCACAAACTGCTAATTGTCTTAATCCTCATCTGCATAATAAAGTTATTAATTCTTACCTCTTTATAGTCATCTGCCAGCAGAATGTGTAAAAGGCCACATGGTCCAGTACAACCAGAACAAACCACTACGTATGAAACGGCATTTAAATGTAGTTCAATATTATTCTAAAAAGGAGCATAACATTTTTCCATAAATGGTAAAAGCTCATCTTATGACCTTAAGAGCCCATTTAATCAAATCCAAGATCACGTATTACTAATGGCTGATTTAAGCAGTAAGTAGTGAGTATGACCTATAGACTGTATGTATGTATCGTTTAAAGGAAATAGTCCTCATCTAAACATTTGTGTGGTGTGGTGTTTTTACCTCTCATCCCTGTGCCTTACTTAATATGGACATGGCACAGAGTTGAGAAAGTTTGTTGAGGGAGTCTTTGGATGTTCTAGTCTGAGAGTTATTCGAGCCTGACTTAGCCCATCAGAACCATCCTTTTCAATCAGTGAGATGTGGTAAAAGGTCTAATAACTAAATCCAATATGTCTAATGTGTTTGGTTTAAGGTAATATTTTCTTTGGACATGAGCATTCCTAGAAGGAAAGGTGCTCTAACATGTTCATTTCTGATGTTCAAAAGCTATTGAGGTATTTACTTTTCCATTTGGTCTCTTGAAAGAAAGTGCAGTCCTTGCATTTGAATTCAGGCAAAATAAATTCTGAATATTGCAGAAAGCAATTTTGAGTCCCGGGAGTGGAGAGAAAGGGTTTACGATGGTGCAGTGGTGTGGCCATTGGTCACAGAACAGTAGGTGAATACACTACTTTGCAACACGGTTCTGACCTGGATTTTAGGAGTCATATCAGACGACTGGATCAAATCTGTTCAGTAATATACTTTGTAAAATGAGTTCATGAGCTGGTAGTAATGATGTTGGATCTGCATCGTATTTTTTACAGTCATCATCTGAGAATCATTTGCTGAACCTGTGTGCTGCTCATCCCCAGCATTGCCTTGCATCATATCAATTCAGTTACACACATTGGCTCCTGGAAACCTTACACTGTTGTTACATTTTGAACTGCATTTCCCCCAGCTGTCATTTTGTGTGTCCCAGTAGTTATCTGCATCTGTCCACTAGCTGTGTGCAGAGACTGACAGATGGATAGTTGTGAATGACCAAGTGTGCCATCTCATGCCCAAAGAATAGCCAGTCCAACACATTGCATTGTCAGCCTGCCACTCTGTGTCCACAACACTGGCCACACCACTGCTGTTCCGAGTTACAATCACTCTCATCACCATGTGATGTGAGAAATGCACAGGACTTGGTCATGATGACACTGGTGCAGTGGTATTTCAGGGTTTCATCATGCTCACTGGCATGCTTGGCACAAGGACAGCTGGACCTCCTGTGTAGTGCAAAGGGACATCTGAAGACATGTTGTCAAGCGGACAGTGGACTGCATCTGATCCCTTTTCATTTGTGTAGAACAGTCCCAGACTTCAGCCACATGCTGGCGCCAGCCCTAAAAAGCTGCGCTGACTGCTTTTGAAAAGTTTTTTTGTTAGTATGTTTTATCACATTCTCCTAACCTTATGTACTAATCTGCTTTGGTTAATGGCTTTTACGTGTCCAAAAGCATCTCTTGTTTTTTTTGTTTTTATAGATATTTATATAAAAGCTGGAGCAGAGTTTCCAGGGATCACACTGGGATGTCTGATGTGTGATGTTTAGTAAAGGGGGGAAAAGCAGGGATGTGTGTTTGTAGTGTGAGACTTGCTCTGGGCAGCCCAGTGGCCACACTGTCTGAGATGGACGGCTGGTATTATAGGATAGCCGGATTACAAGGATACAACTTGTCTCAAATACAGCATTAAGTGTAGTTATGATATGAGACTGTCTCTGGGAGTTATCTGGAAATAGCCACTGGTTACATGATAATAGCTATCAAATAAATCTTATAGGAGGCGGCAACGGTTGATGACAAGTGCTTGGCTCTTATTATTGAACCGTCTACACTGATCCATTACTAAATGCCATGGTATGGAAGCGTGCAGATGTGATCTTAATTAAGTGGTAGCCTTAAAACTAGCTAAATACTTAATGGACTGTCACTGAATCCTCTAACTCTGGCAGAGTTTGGCTGTTTGTTGGTGTCATGGACTTCAGGGTGATACATTAATAAGCATTTTTTCATCCTTACTAAAATATACAAGCCCTACATGCCCTATTTGCATTCTTTCTTTAGTTTAGTATGTAGGTTGCAGAATTATAGCTTGTGTGTGTGCGTGTGTAGTGTTGTAGGACAATGTTCTGTCCATGTCTGCTTATTTTCCCTCAGCTAACTGTGCTCATGTACATTTTTTCTTTGTCTGTCACCTCAGGTATTTTGGAGACAAAACGCTTAGATATCGTCAAATCAAATGGTACCATCGACCAGGTGCTTGGCAACGTTATCTACTACGCTGCAGATTTACCCATATGGTGGCAAGTGCCTCAATATGTGCTGATAGGAATCAGCGAAGTCTTTGCCAGCATTGCAGGTACAGTTTTTTGACATATATCTCGTGTCTCATTTAGCACTGTGGTCAGGTAAACATGATGATTCAGACTAACCGTAAGATACAGTATCCTCCAGCTTTGATTCACCTTCACACTGAACCACTCCGAAGAATAATAACCCTTTTTGAACTGTTTGTTTGGTTCACTGCCAAACTGCACCAGCTTAATGTGATTACTTATTATTGTAGTCCAGAGTAAATAGCCGGATAAGTTGATTGATAATTGATTATCCTGAATTTCTCACACCACTGCAAGACAATGTTTGGTAATGGGACATTTTATAAACAGGGTGTGGATAAAGTAACCTTTGAAATGATGATGAAAGCTGTTCCTTCGCCCCAGCCAATGACCAGCCTCATATTAGCACTCTTTCTGCTTGTTGTACAAACAGATATAGTAAATAATAAGATGGATAAATACACAGAAATGTACCTTATATTGTACATTGTGTCCCTGAGGGTTTAGTCACAGGCAGCACAAATTAACGTCATAACATAAACTTTTCACCCCCATGTTCAGTCACCTTGTGTGTTGACATTTACCAAAACAAACTCAAATATATATACCAGCATATGAAATAGTAATCACAATGTATGCCATGGCCTCTCCACCACACGGTCACACTCAAAAAAGATAATACTGACAAATTGTACTGACATACACTGTATTGCAAGTTAAACACTTAATTATCCAATTAGCATGCTTCCCCAGCTGACACGGTGTTCATGGAGACATATTCCACTTGAATACACAGAAAAATATTGTATGTTTAATTATCAGTCCAGCACTTTGAGGGTGCTGTCAGTTGTATGTGTATGTAGACCAAAGAATTAGAGAATGAGTCTTAAACATCCTTGTAAGAACGCTATGCATCAACTCCCACTTTTAGAGACATTATACTGTAGACTCTAATGACTGCAGGAACAAAAAATAAGTCCTTGGCTTACTGTAAAGCAATATCTCAAAGAGTATATTACAGTGATCTGGCTCATTGATATGCAATATTTCCCACAGTGGCCTACCAGAGATATTCTTTGCATGGTGTAAAGGCTATTAAACATTTCTGCAAGTTGACAAATCTCTCACTGTAGAGCACAAACAAAATTTGATTAATCTCCACTGGGGTATTGGGGTGTCAGCCAAAGTTCCAAAGGCAGATTTCTCAAAACCTTGGCACAATAAACCAAAACTATCTGCATGACTAGATGCCACTTAGAGTGTGACTTAGGTTAATTAACTCTTTCTTTGTAATAACCCTCTTCTCTATTCATTATTTTATCACCTTAGCAGCGGTTTTAATGCCTAAGATCCTGTGTGAATGCTTTAATCTTCTATCTACTAACAGAGGATAGGAGAATTTAATTAGAAAACATTTTAAGAATATTTTTTTAAATTACAGCACTTGGACCAACTTTTCACTCTGGGAAGCTTGTGAATATGGCCCCAGGTCTGATTTGAATTCAAAGTTGAATTACCACTGCTGCTCAGACAATTCATTCCAGTAAATATCATTCGAACACACATGCTCATCAGTGTAAGGCCATCCATAATCCTTTAATGGAAATTTAGCAGTGTTTGCTCTCCCCGTTGAAATACATTCCCTGTTCCTTTCCGTAAAATGATTAAAAAGAAAATCACTTAATCAAAGCAGGTCACGATAGTTCACGCTGGAACTGACAGCTGCAAACTTCTTTTAGATACTTTCAAGGCATCAACTGAAAACTGCACTGAGCACCAGCTCTCATTTATTTTTTGTTCTTTTTGTGAGACCTGACCTAAACACGAAATGTCATTTCATTAAACGCTATAAGAAGTAAGGATATATTGCCCCAGTAATACAATAATGTGACAAAGTGAAAAATTGCTCTAATGTTATATCAAATTGTGGCTGCAAAATCTGACACAAAAATGGGAACAACAGCAACAGTGTTCTCTTTTATTAAAAGAGGGGAGTTTGTGTCTGTGAGAAACGCACTGAATGTGATATAGAACATTACAGTGTGGCAGCTGTGGCCCATTTTCTTTCTAAACTATACTCTGCAATGCACAACAGAAATCTGCCTTGTATTGTGTTTATCTATCTGTTTTGTATATTTTTATCCATCTATAGTTTTTGTTTTTAAACGTTATGTCATTTTCTCTGCAGTCATGAGTATGGCTTCAGGCCTCAATTATCTTAGTGATTTGAATTTTTAAGGCCTCTACCCATGATGACTACAGGTCAAGTTGTTGTAGGCTCGGCCATATAGCCCTCACTTTATTTTGATTTCAACACTGAAGATTGAGCCATTAATATTTAAGACTTTTTTACTCACCACAGTGGACGGATTATTTAGGCGATGCAGTCACTACAGGGTTTTTGTAGGAGTGAACATTCACATTCGTCATCTTTAAGTTTAAAATCCATGAATACTGAAATTTTTTTAATAAGCTTAGGTATTATAAAGCCCTTGAAGACAACTCCATAAGGCTTCTATAAAACACTGGAATTCAGGGATCCCTGTGAAAGTGAAATTCAGACATAACAAAGCTATAGGGATACTTAAAATAAACTTACTATCTTCCCTCCCTCCATACCATCCCACAGGGCTTACCTCAAGGAAAATTGGCTGACAGAATTGTGACATATGTCTAGTTAAGAGGAAAGTTTCCCCTTAGTCTTCTTCTGTTTGAATAAATCTGTTTAAAACCTCCAGTGCCATCAAACTTCCTCGCTGCAATCCCCAGTCTTGTAGGATGATGGGTAATTCTTTGTTCGTACACAACCCAAGTTTATCTGCTTTCAGACAATACGAATATGCAAAAACTTTTGCAAAATAATTCCCTACAGTAGTTTTAATTACAGGAAGCACTTAAACATGGTAAAGGCCAATGTTATTTTCTAAGAAAGAAAAATCACCCCTACAACAATGCCCTTTTGAAGAAAATCTATATTAATGTTAAATTCTATGCCTTTCTTTATTTGTCTTTTTTTTTCTCAAATAATTTTGTCTTTTGGTCAAGAAAAAGTGGGTGGTGAATACCATGGACATCACTTTGATTGTTTCTTGAATTATTGTTGTCACAGACATACAAGAGCTGGGTTTAACACAGTGTGACAATCTTGGTCTATACTGTTCCCTTCCTGCATTATTGTAATTGAGAATCCTCACAAAACATTGCAATCCCCTGTGATAGGCATAGCTATCGACCAGTGTTTGTTGCTATCAAAAGGTTAGCTTAGAGTATAAACAAATGTATCACTGTGAACTTCTGGAAAGGTTATTCATGTTTTCCACTGAGTAATTGCCCTATGTTTGCCATGCTATTATCTCAGTCCTTTTCTCAGATTTTTTTTTTTTGCACAACTTGCGCAGGTATCTGTAAGGAAACTGCTCATCACATTAATTTGTACAATGTCCTCCTCCAAGGAAGGTCTTAAACGGCAAACGTATTTAACTACAGCTCTGTAATCTCTCCCGACAGATGTAGCTATAGGGCCTCATTTGAAAAATCACATGTTTGAGGTGCCATGAAATTATCAATGTCAGCTTGCAGGCAGACAGATCTCTGGGCAAAAATACACATATTTGATGGGTTTTTTTCTCTCCTCATCTCTTTTTCTCTTAGGTTCCTTGCCCATTTTCTCAGTCCTTTTATTTCTTTCAAGACACAGTAATATACCGAGAGATGTGTTTTCCAGAAATAACTGTTGCCAGTACCAAGCAGCGTAGATACCCAACAATCGCGCCACAGACCAGTGCCACCATGCAAAATTAGCTGTCAGCCAGCTTCAGAGGAAATCTTTTGGTCTCACATACAATATACTGAAATGAAAACAGTCACTGTCAACAAAACCCACCCGTCTTACATAGATGCTCAAAGACATATATTGTACCCAAGTATATAGTGTTACCGTGTTTATTCCACTATCACACACATGCACGCAACAGTATGTTTTCAGGCATAACATATGACTAAATAGCATGGTATTACAAGGTATATTACACAAACACTGGCTGTAAATTTGCTACTGATTTAAAAACTTTTATTATATATTTCACTATTTCACTATTTCACTATTTTATACCCTACATAAAAATTCAACAAATATGTGTGTTTTTTTAACTCTCGTTGTTGCAGGTCTGGAGTTTGCCTATTCTGCAGCCCCCAAGTCCATGCAGAGTGCCATCATGGGGCTCTTCTTCTTCTTCTCTGGGATTGGCTCCTTCGTGGGCTCTGGCTTGTTGGCTATTGTCTCCATCAAAGCGATTGGCTGGATGTCATCCCACAAAGACTTTGGTAAGTGATACAGTAGCTTATAATATAACGTGTGCAGTCATTGTTTCAAACCCCCACCCAGAGATAGGAAATGTAACAAAGTAAAGCAACTTTAATCTATATTTTTATAATAACAATAGATTAAATGACTATTTGTAATGTGAAAGGGGTCACTTGTAGTAAAGAAACCACAGAATTATTACGGTACCTGACTGCTGTTTCTGCCTGCTCGCCTGAGCTTTATAGCTTCTTTCCTCTCGTTTTGGTTTTCCATCCTGAAACTTTACTGTTTTGGTTCAGCCTCATCGCTGTCATAGCGTCATTTTCAGCCTCTGCAGGCAGCTGTTTTCAGCAAAAAAAGCTCTAAAAACCCACTGCCTGCTCAGTACCAAACAGACAAGGTTAGCATATACCTGGTGAACATAGTGGAGCATTAAGCAGCTAAGGAGCCAGATATTTGGTGGAGACCAAACAGAGTTAAAAGGAGAGAGAATATTAGATATATAATCGCCATTGTCAGAAACACAACTGCAAATAAATAATGATATTGCTCTATATCTGCTGGATGTGCAAATAAACAACTGTTAGCTAACAAGTTCACCATATCAACTTAAAACATAATAATATGTCAGTGTTGTGTCTATAGTTCCTTACACCATCTGCCAAAAAAGTATTGCAGGTTTAAAACTTTTTTATTTAATTAATCATCATTCTTTACCACTTCTGTAATAATACTGACATTATTCAGAATAAGGAGCTTTGACCAAAATATTAATAAAGATGTGCAGTTTAAGCATATCAAGCTTTATAAAACAAGAGATTCCTGTGTGTGTGTGTGTGTGTGTGTGTGTGTGTTTGTGTTTGTGTTATTAAACCCATAGCCATTTGACACGCATGCATGCAGGCTCTAGACTCAGTCCTACATGAGATGACTCTGTCTGTGTTTAAACTTAAAGAATGATCCTACTCTCAAAATATCTTCAGCATAGAGGTGATTGATCTTTACTCATGCAGTTTTCTTGGGGCTGTCCATAATCCTCCTGAATTGAGCATTGCAGTTGTCAAGCCTGCTGTTGCCCATTGCATTAAGAGTGCACTATTGACTTTGCACATCGACTGTATGTATGTACTCGTAGAGATAGAATTGTCAGTATCGATTCACAGTAAAGAAATTTTTTTCCCACAGACATACCTTAAGAATTTTCATTGCTTGTGCTGATTTAAAATCCAGTTTGTAGATTAGATGCAGAGAGGAGGGGCAGACTGCAATGCCCTGTGCAGTTCTCTTGTTTTAAGAGTTTCCCGTAATAAATATACATGTCAGACTAACTACAAAAGGTTTGTGTAAATCTGTCCGAGCGGCAGAATGAATAGCGTGGTGGTGGCAGCAGATGGATGGGCTTCCTAGCGAGAGGAGGCCCCCAACCCAGATGCACTTTTCCCTGAGCATGCGGTAAATAAGCCAACACTGTAAATTGTTTATCCACAAACACCTAATAGCTCATTAATACAGTGTGCCGACAGGTAGTGAGGTACTTTTGATGATGTTAGCACTGGGAAATGCTTGGCACGCATCATGAATCCATCCTTCGCTCAGCCTTGCTTCACTTGAGGGGCAGTTAAACTAGAGTCGGATTGCCTGTAAGACTCAAGTCATTTAAAAGGTGAGCTGCTGAAATGGAACAAAACATCCTCGTGGCCACTGATAAAAGACACATGGCACAAAGCTTAGGCATAAGTATAGTCAGTAATCATACAGTTCATTTTTGTGGCTGTTTTTCACAGTTTGTTGGATGCTAGCTTCTTCCATATCTCATGGCTCTCTAGGTGGAATGGATTCAACTTATTTCCATGGCTTCGGGCAAAATGGTGTGCAGTAAACAGCATCTTGGGTGAGCTGTGCTAAGTTGTACTGAGCCGCCCGGGCCTGAAGACAGATGAGCCACATTAATCACAGGCTGGGGGTCTGATTACATAGCCCTGCTTCTCTTAAGTAAAGCTGTCCCTGGAGCATTACATGGGGATGGCACTGCTAGTCTGGCATCACACTGGTGGATGCTCTGCTCTCCTGTCATGCTGTATAGCTGCGAATATCTTTGCTTTGTGCTAACTAATGTTGTAGCTATGTCAACATAGCTAAAGTGTCACATGAAGAGTTCATTGAGTCTGTCCTTCATTGCGGTATTACCACCTGGTTTGGATAAGGTGAAGTTCAAGTCTTAAATATTTCGCTTGGTAAGGACAGCAGCGAAGATCATGGGACTGCCTACACCTGATACCCTGTGAGAAAATGAATTCTGGAAAGGTATAGGTATAGGGTCCCTTTGTGTGAACAAAATCATATTAATGTCCATTTGTCCCTCTCTCAGTTAAACATATTACCAAACAACTGGAGGCAAAAGGGTAGGGGGGAGTTTAAGCCAATGTTTGCACATGTATGATGAAGTGTGTCCTTTTGTGACCATTTGAATGATACCTACATGATGCAGTCCAATTACAGCTGTGTTCTAGCCTATTGGTTTAACTATTGTGGATCATCCTTTTTTACATAATCGACTATAAAAGCAAGTGATTAACTTAAAGTTATTTTTCAGCATGTTTGCATTTAATCTCTCATTTAACACCACATGTGCAAGAAACATTTATGCATGCTAGAACTGAAACAATTAATAGAGTAGCTGATGGACAGAGATTTTATTGGCTCACTGGTTTCAGCTTTTCAAATGTGAATATTTACTACTATTACTCATCAGTGATAGGAGAAAATATATCTTTGGGTTTTAGATTATTGGTAGGCAGCAATATGTTTGTGTCAGCCTAAAGTTTGGGATTTTGATTAACCAATAAAACAGTTGAGAGATTAATTCAAAATGAGAAGAATTTTTAATTCCGGGCCTATTACAGGCATTCATCAGCAGACAAGTCAGGTTCCAAATGTGCCAACCTTTTAACAACAACATGAAAACATCTGTAAATAAAAAAAGAATACTGTCAATCCAGTTGTGTCAGGCATACGTGTGTATGTATATTGTGTGTTTCACAAACTCATAGCAAGAACATTACCAAAGAACAAGTTCTTCAAAGTCCTCTCAGGCCAGCCTCTTGTTCTCAGAGTTTTGAGTTTCCATAAGTGAATGACTTTCCCATTTAGCGTATTGAAGTGAATGACCACATGTGCGACTGAAAGCCTGCGGCATCAGTCTGCAACGCCGTGATGAAGATTATTATACAGTATTTCAGCCACATCTGTTCTCAAACTTACAACAGAGTGGGCTTATGTGGTGAAATTATTGATCCTTTAAATCCCACTGCACATCGTTTCCCCCTGCGGCTGCATCTGGTTGAGTAATCATACATCACGCTCTTTTATTTGGTATTTTTATAGGCCCAGTATAACGCCATCTCCTCCTTTCCTGTCCGAGACGGCAAGTCAGTCAAAGATCAACCTTTACTCTCTTCGCTAGCATTATTCTTTACGCACAAGTTTTTTTTTTAGAAAATCTCTGTTGCATTTAATCAGTTCCTCCTTTGTGGGAGCATCATTCCCTCAAAGTGAATAGTTTTCCTGTGCAGCTATGGTCACATGACAGGAAGTGGCCTTTCTCTTCGGCCAGTCCTGACTGATACTGATTATATCAGATGTCTGGGACGTGTTCAGACATTTCAGAGTGAGCTGACATTCACACATCCTGCTCATGAAGTGTTGGATCACACTCAGTGAAATGTCAGTGTTTTAATGGAAGCCTTTAATGTCAGATCTGGCAAATTGAACATGAACCCTTTCTGTCTGAACGGCCTCTATATGAAAATGTAATTTTAGTGCTTGTGTTAGACATGTCACAGGCAACAGATGGCACAAAATTTTTTTAGCATGTAGTGGCCATTAACAAAACTCCAGCATCAATCATGAAGTTTTTATAAGCAAGTGGAGAGCTACGGAAAATAACTATTTATAGCTGAAACAAACATGTATTGATTCCCACTCTGGTTTCACTCTGGGGCAGATGATGGCATTGAATGCAATGAAGCATTAAAATGTTGGGTCATTGCTCCGAAGGGCTGGATCAGTTGATCCATTTTCAAATGTTAAATTGATATTGACCCGTTTCTTCTGGACTCACATTGTCTGCTCAAACCTGCTCGCAGGTAAATTTTTCCATAAGTTGATATCACTCCTTCTGTCGGGGCATTCACTGTAATCACAATCTAATAATTTACTAACTCAGACCTGTAAAATGAGACATCTGTGCGCACACGTGGAAGTTTCAGAGAAAAACTGTGTAACAGCAAAGCTTGTTACCCCACACTGATTGGTTTGCACTTCTCTCTCTCTGGCTAAGAATGTGCCTTTATAATAACTGTCAAATATTAATGGGCTTCATTAATGTGTTTTACAGCAAGTCCTTGTTTAGTCTTTTGCTGCTGTAATTAGCCTTCCGTATTTTTGAAAATGCTTAGCATCCAAGTGGGCCCTGGGGGGCGGAGGCTGAAAGGAGGAGGCAGAGCCTAACTAAATGTATAATGAAATTAGAGCAAGAACTATTACAAAACCAAAACCTTGCACAATTTTCAGGACTGTTCCAAAAGATTAGATGTTTGCTTTTTTTTGCCAGTCCCCCTTTTTCATTCCTTAGGTCCTAGTTAAGAGAGACGTTTTGAAATCTGGAACAAAGGTTAAGATCCAGTGACAACTCCAGCAAAGATGTAAAAATGTCCTAAAATCAGGATTTGTTACATACCTCATGCTGACATTCATTACCTGCTTCTGAGCAAACTCAGAGAGTGTTGAAAATGCCGTAAATCCTGCATTCATTTTCACACTGTCCACATTCTGCTTAAACAGATCATATTGTACGAAACACTCTGCAAATTCCTGTTTTCAGCCAATGTACGTCTTCCCTCGACATAATTTGTATGCCGCGTTTCTTGCTTTTTGTAAGCGATACTGCTCTGTTAATTAAGACTGCAGAGGCAGACTCTTGAGGTGAATTATCGACTGCAAATACAAGCGCCCTCGCTGCAAAAGCACTTCCCTTTTCCTCCTGTGTTCTCTTGTCAAGCACATTGTTTTGCGCTTCATGAATTATTCAAACACTGCTTTGGTTTTTGATAGGCTCCTCTCAGTTTAAACTTTTGACCAGATTAAGATGACACCAAAATAAGTTAAAACTGAGACAGGGGTCAAAGGTCTACCATGTGCCACTCATTTCATTAATACTCTGGCAGAACTTCACAGTGATCAGTCAGCTCTCTGTTCCTAGATCAAAGGTATCAAGCCATAGAGATGGCGCAGAGCATAAAGCATTGACAAAAAATCACTCCTGTGTGATGTATACTGTCGTGACAGTCTTTCTTTATTCCCCTCAATTTTTAATTATCGACAAGAGCACGCACACAAAAAAGAGGCTAGAAAAATAATTACTTATATGCATGATGGCAACATTAATGTGATCTGCTTTACTGATCGCAAGTGATCGTGCAAAACACCGGGACCACTGGTTTCAAATGAGTTAATCCTGGTCTTTAATCGGTAGCAACCCTGTTAAACTATGTACAAGAACATGAAGGTTTCTGTGTCAGTGGAGGATCTGTTGTGACACAGTTGCCTGTAATGCAGTGAGGTGGATGCTATTCAGGCCTTTGACGTGAAACACTGGCATGTTTTATTCACAGCTGTTAACATCATACAGTCTAGTTTCTGCTGTGCTTGTAGAACTGCATCACACTGAACGCATTCCACAATGATTCAATATAATAGCCAAAAAGTAAGGTGAGAAATAAATGAAAAATCTTTAGAAATCCTATTTTAGTCCATAAGCACCATCTTGACCCAGGGGGCTGTTAACTTTAAATTGACAGGTGCCATGTGAATAGGCAGAACTTGAATTGACAATTGCCCCCATATCTAATTAAAATCAAGCCTGCTTCTCTTTCTCTGGCTCTTTATTCAGTGTGACAGCTCCACATGGAGAAACTAATAGGAGCTTTCTGAGGAAGATGGCAGATTGCTCTGGGGCTTCACTTTTACTCATTTGACAATAATGTAGGATGTAAGGTTTAGGTATCTCTGTCCACTGCTGAAACTGTGCTTTATATTGAGCCTGTTACATAAACTGAAGACGTGTTCTTAAATATGCTTACAAGTTAAATCCTCCCTTTACCCAGCACCAACCTTCAACAACCAGCTCACCCCAAAATGTCTCCTTGTCCAGCAAAGTAATAAACAGCCTCATCTCTTGCTATTGGCTACAAAGTCAATTGGTCTGCCTGACCGATGGTCAAGAGGAAACAAGCTGCTCTAATGCCAATCCAATTTTCTCCATACTTGAACAGCGGAAACAAGTGTATTGTCGTCAGCTTTGCCCTTCATGTAAAACCCTTACAAGGGGAAAACAGGATTTGTTTAGAGCTTTCCTCTTGAGGACGACCACTTCAATCAACAATGCAGCAAATGTTAAGACAGCTGGGGTTTAAAGGCTGCTGGTTGAATTCTCCAGACCCGGTAGGAAAAAATGGGTAGGGAATGTCAACAAATAGCATTTCTCCATGTTTCAGAAATGCTATTTGTTGACAAATTAGTTCTTTCGGTCTCAGCACAGTCTGTTTGTCTTCCCCTTCCCCTGTACACAAGTCATAAAGCATCAGTTTGTTATTTTTATTGCATCCTATTCCCATGAGGAAACAAACCATCCTTTAATACAGATGAGAGACCCCCTAGCTCGAATCACAGCTGACGGCACACATTACTTTGTTATTTCTTATACTTCAGTCCCACATCATCAGTACCTTTCTGTATCAGTGCCGAAGAGCGGGGTCAACCGTTGTCACTTTGATAAAGTTTCACACTGTGGTGAGATGAGAAGTAACAAGCCCCTCCGCTGAATCCTAATTCCTGACAGAATCACATTTGCCTGCCATGCTCACTTCAAGCCTGCCTTTTATGTGTAGTAAAAACACAGCTACCTGCCACACTTGGGAGCTTGTGACCATTTACCTTTACCTTTGGTATTCTTTTAACATGGAGGATTACTTTGGGCTAAAAGAACCCTGCTGCTGTCCCCCTCTGAATATGTCACGACTGATACTTGTTTTCCAAATTTCCATATTTGTCACTTTGCCGTGCAGCTCAGAGTTCTTAAGCCTCATCAGAATGCCAGTCTTGCTTCACAGCTATTTGGAGTCTCAGCTAAGGTGTTACATATTCTAGCCTAATAATGTCCTCGTTTCCTCTCTTTCCAGGTAATATCAATGACTGCTCTCTGCACTACTACTTCTTCCTCCTCGCAGGGATCCAGGGCGTCACCTTGCTGGTCTTCCTTATTGTATCTGTCAAGTATGACAAGCAGAGAGGCAGAGCAGGAAGCCAAAGGCAGAGACACGCCTCCTCTTGACCCACACACACATCCCCATATCCCCCTCACCATACCTGCCTTATCACCATATCCAAGACCCTGTTGAATAGGTACTTGCTAATAAATTCCTACAAAAGTTAGGTTTACCTCTGTCACTCACAAATTATCTTAACAATTATATACTGTATTTCTTATTTATGTTTATTTTAGCTTTAAAATGTGGACTCTTTACCCTTTTTTTTAATAACAATATTCGTTTTACATCACTGGATGCACAGGTACCACTGAAAGTACAGAGATTAATTCGGGAGCCATGTCTGAATCATTTCTACTGGCTCCCTCACTCCTGTTTACTCTTGTTGTCTTTCTTTGATCATTTGCACTTGACTTGAGGAGTGGTGCCATAAAAAAAATACGGTATCTAGGTATTTTCTAATCGTGAAGACTGCTCAGATGTTTTTGTAGTTAGATTTTTTCTTTTAACAAATTTTTGGACTCTACCATTTTACAGACCCTAGTAAGGCACATCAATATTTAGTCAAACTGACAGTTTAATGACTTTTAGACTTACATCCGCAGTCTGATATTGGGGTATTTGAGCATTAAAGGTACTTTGATGTTTGCATTATTTCTTTTATAGATTGTCAAATACCTATGGAGTAAGAGCGATTTTACGTTTAAGTCTTGTTGCAGAATCCCAGAAAAGATTGCTGTTAATGTTGAGACAGAATAGAGCTTTTGTTTGAGGAGATTCCAAATAAACACACTTACAGTTTTGAGAGAAAAAACATGAGTTTCCACTGCCTGTGACTACATATAGTAATCCAGATAATCATGTTAAAAATACTCCATGACTCCTATGAATCTTCACGGTAGTGTTTTAATTTCTGGTCAAGCTGCAAAGCTGCATGTCCGAATGACAAACAGCTAATTGGAAGCTAACCTTAATCTTAACCGGCAACCTTGAGTGTAGCTCTTAAACGATCCACTGCATTAATTCTTGGATCGTGATGAAAAGGAGCGCTGGAATTAATACTGACAAATTAAAGATGTAAATCATTCACATTGATTTATATTTAGAATAAATCAGAGCAACATAAATCTTCCACAGTGTTTTACAATGTTCATGGCTTCACAGCTTCGCCAGAAAGTCTTGAAAAATAAGCTTTTTGTTGTTGTATTTATTAGACTGTGATGCATTTCTTTTAGCTTATGTTGCTTAGAAGAAAACGCTTTGTGTGTTTCTTGAATTCACAGAATAAGTATAGCACAAATTACTGAATTTGATTAAAGCAAGAAAACTCTCAGGGCTTGAGGAATGTCGACTGACATAACTCTCCAGGAAATGTAAAACTGCCTTTGGGAGCTCAGAACAGTGTTTACCCTGTGGTGTAAATAATGTTACATTTGTAACAGCACATAAAAAGTAAGGAGCTATCACACAGACAGTAATGATGCTTGTTACAGTGATTTTAGTTTGTGTGTAATTACCGGAGAAATGGATATTTCTTGTTTATTTCATATTTTATATATACTTGCTTTGTCATCTCAGTCCTCTATTACATTTATTTTGGAATTATATTCTTTTTTCATGATGCTACAGAACTGAAATATTGTTTTGTGGTTATATTTGTGGCCATTAAAGTATATTAAATTGAGAATTGTGTTTGTCATTTTCAGCCATTGTCTAAATAAGACATGACTTACAAAGCTAGTTCAGACGTCTGTCACATGACCATACCTGCTATTAGTTAAAAAAATACTTTATTTCCTTTTTCTACACTTTTATTATGCATATTTATTCTTTTTTCTTGCGCGCCAGCACTGCTTTGTTACAGGTATTGCAGTCAGGAGTTATAAACACATCTATAAGTTTACTCCTGTGTTCACAAATACTGATGTAAGTAATATAAAAATAACTTTGAGTGATAACATGTTCCAGTCATGTGTTTGAAAATTAAAGCCTTTAAAACCTGACAGGATGCTTTCATGATTAGGGTTATGGTTTGTCGGTCCCAAGGAAAAACAAACAAAAAACACATGCGGTGGCAGGCTGTTTGTTGAAACGGTTGCAAACACTGAAGTGTACAGCCTCATTTTGCATTCCTATTTGGGGGGGCAGCGTATTTCTTCTTAGTTTCATCAGACACAGATTGAAATCAACACGTCATCACAGATCATTTTTTAATGCTAAGCCCTTCCAGCCATGATGCTCAGAGAGGGCTATTTCCTGTTTAATTTGGTCAGAGAGCACACATAGCCGTGACTGAGCAGACAGCTTGATGTTTGAAACCAACACAACGCCTCCGGGTAATAATTCTAGTATGGCGGCTTGTTTCTCATGTTGGGAGGAATTTTTGACACATCGAAGTGGTTATGGAGGCAATAACACCGAGATATATAGTTTTGGTACTGGTCTCCCAATATTTTAAGTGAATTTATTGGACAGGATTTAAGTTAACAACAGTGCCTTAGAGAGAGCACCCCCCCATACATTTATACAGTAACTGCTACTGTTTTGTTTAGTTTTGGTTTTATTGAGCATGTTCTATGAGCCACGGTAACTGGCTTGAAAGTTTATAGAGTTCTCAGTAGTATAAAAAAACATGGTAGTGGCATAGGGTTAGACATTGCAATGGTGGCATGTTGGTCCACCATTATGGTCCTATCTGAAATATCTCAATAACTAAGGTTGGTGATGGAGCAGTGGATAAGACCTTATGCCATTGGTGTGAGAGACCTGGGTTCAACTCCCCACTGACATGTCCATCAATGTCTCCCTGAGCAAGACATTTAACCCTCTGACATATATAGCAAGTCACTTTGGATAAAAAGAGTCAGCTAAATTAATTCATTTAATGTAACTATCAGATGGATTGGCAGTCAGTTCTCTACAGACATCCTAATGATCTCGGCAATCCCCTGACTTCTCCTCCGGTGCCACCATGAAGTGGACATTTGTATTTTGGCTGAAATGTCTCAACAATTACTGAATAGATTACTATTAAAATGTGTAAACACATTCATGTCTCCCTCAGGATGAATGGTAATCATTTCTGTGATCGCTTAACCTATTTATCCAGTGCCATCATCAGGTCAAATTTTCAATTTTGGCCTGATGATGACTGGACTGGTGGCATTTACTTTCTCCACATATCTTTATAAATAGAAGTGTATTAACATTATGTTAAGTAGAAAAATTAAGTTGATGTGTTTATCCCCATGTTTGTTATGTTTATTTATGCTTAATGAAGACCAGTTTCCAAGCTGTACGACAAACAATTTTGTCTCCTCGCCCTCTACTCTAAATGACTTTTGGAGGCACGTGGCAGTCTAATATAAGAAAAATGTTAAGCTGCTTTTAATTGTATTACTACGTCTTACCTGTGTAACTACTGGCAGATGCTCCTGAAGATGTTCCTCCAGTAATTGGAGGATTAGGAGGAATCATCTCATGTTAATTAAGATAAGCTAATGCAGGCGCAATGTTTAAGAAAATGGCCAAGTAGACAAATCACCCATCTCTAGGTACTAATCATCTGCATTTACATAGACCTAATTATCTTATCTGAGCTGTGCTTTGTTGGTCGGCATCCTGGAGCATTTTCTGTGTGAGATTCCAAATGGGACAGTGTTAGACAAGAAACAAGTTGTTAAACTCAGGGTTGATCTGTTTCTAACATACTATCCCCAATGAATTATGTCTGAGGATATGATCTATGGAAAAGAAAACATATGTAGAGCCACTCACAATCTCCTGTACCAGAAAGTGTGCTAGTCTTGTCACTGTTCTGTGGGACTTAGCACAGTGGCGGGTTAAGGATGTTCATGTAGACAGATGATCTGTAAAATAAGCAACCGTAAAATGCTTTAACAGCGTACATCCATCTGGATTTACGGCATCAACCTTGGTTATTATGTGCAGGCTTAGAGCATCTTATTGTACAGAATGGGGCTTGACTCCCATAAAAAAGTACAGGTATCAAGATAAATCTTTCTCATACACACCGAGGAATACCATTTCTAGCCACGTGTATCTTGAAAGACCTCTGACCTTCTATTGTTTTGTCCTGGCCTGTCTCACAGTGCTGGCTGATATGTCGCTCCCCTGTGCACAGTGTGCCACTAGTCCTCCCAGGCCGATGTATCTAAAAGACATGGTTGGGTACTCAACTCACGCTGCTGAGAGGCTTCACTAATTACTGTAGTTGTTTATTGCCTTTGGATTTTTGAGTCATTGCTGACAGTCTTTGTAGTGCATATCTTTATACTGTTATGTGTGAGTTTGATTGTTCACTGGTGATGCACCCCTATTCCGGGGACAGGCGGGTCTGCATAAAATTTAGGTAAAGGGATAAGGCTGGTGGTATTTTATATTTTTCTGTCAATCCCATCAAAAGACCAAAACCAACCATGAATTGATGTACCCAGAGTCTGATATAGCTTATTCCACTGAGCCATATTCTTTCATTGTTGCTTAAAAACTATTGAAAAACGCATCAATGAGCCACACTGTTGCACTGGGTGACATTTTCCTTTATTACTATGAACATGGGCACTGTAGTTTATTTTGTGTCAAACCCACATACACTGCCTTGATGTATTTTCTTTAGGTGGGATTTGTTGATAATAAACAATAGAATTAGTTAGAATTTGGTTATGATAAGTTGAGGTCAAGACTGAGGTAAGGGGCAATAAAGAGCCTTTACAAGACTAGTCTGTGTGTATGTGTGAAAGTGATCTGTACTTTCTAGTCTTCCAACCACTCAAAGCGCTTCAGACTACATGTCACATTCACCCACATGCATGGTGTCAAGTGCTCATCAGATAAAAACTAATCATTCACACACTGATTGCACAGCCTTCATGAGCAATTTGGGATGCTCTACATCAAAGCCACAGCCACCCCTGAGTGTGTGCTCTGGGTTTTTTTCATCCCAATGTGGCGCTATGGTCAAGTGAGAGATTGTATTTCCAACACACAGGTTTGGCACAAGGGTTTGTACATGAACAATGTTGTCTGTGGTTCCCTGCAACTCCGTATGTAAAAACTGGAGAGACTGGAATGTCAAGCTGACCTTCCAGCTTCTCCTTCGTTCTTCTGATGCAGCTTGTTTGGTTACTGTAAAACTACTGTGAACTGATTTGAAAATAAATTCAAAGGAAGCAACATAAATCAAGCAGCAAGTAATAATTTGGAAATTGCAAATACAGACCCTGCACATTAGGACCACAGGGAGCCCAGCCAACCATTAGTGAGAGTTTGTTGGTCTCACATCATCAATTTAATTAAAAATCCATTTAAGATGAAGGCCTGGGGAAGGTTTTTTCTTTTCCTTTCAGGGAAGTAAAGACTTCAAGTCCAACAAAATTAGTCTTGAGTCACAATGTTTCAAGAATCGAAGTGAATACAATCATTATATCTCCTGTGACACATCCCAGCAGGTATAAAAACATGTCTAAAACCGGAGCCCAAGGGGATGGAGAGACAGAAGGTCTTAAATAGGCTCCGTTGTTCTGTTCATCCTGTTGGGAGAACCTCCTGAAGAGGTTGAAGCCACCGACTATGGTCACGGAAAAAGAGTCACAGTGGTGTTTTAATTACAAAGGGCCCTCTATCAATCATGCCCCTTGTGGCTGACAGTTAAATCCCTCACAGACCCACACTGGCTCTCCTCGCCCTTCACAGTCCACAGACTGAGCACAGCATCCGTGGTCCCAGCACACAGCACGCTGCACATGGACCCCGCTTCAATTCCCTGAAGCCACCGATAGAGCCACACAAGCAGGAAAATCACATAGGAGAAAGAAAAAAACAAAACAACATTTCAGGACAGAGCAGAAACAGACAAAGGAAAAGGAGAGTTTTTCCTCTCTATGTGCGTGTGTGCATGTAGCTAAACTGTGGATTTAATCTTTAAAAGCAAAATAGCTAAGCTGATCTTGATTTTTCTTTACTTCAATTAAACTCAGATTCTTAAAAATCACTTCTCAAAATACTGTACCAGAAAATATCAGTTTGGCATTTTTGGAAATACGCTGTGCTTTCTAAGGCTGGCCCAAATGTCTCTTTTTTGAGCTTCGAAGCTTCGATGGTAATTAAGAGTGAATAATCAAACCTTGTTAAGGCTAACAGACCCAAGTGCAGGACTAAGAAAGGAAGAGAGTTACAGTTAGTGACTCTGTCTCTAATCAGCCACCTGTTTAGTGGTTACCACTTATTATTTATTTATTCTGTGTACCAATACACCTACCTCAGGTCATAAGGTCATGTGTCTTAGTTATTTTTACAGCATCCTTTGCACTATGCTCCATCACACTGTGTACATGTGTACATGTATGCATGTATGTGTACCTGTACATCATATCCACCTTCAACATGTACATAATGATAGTTAATAATAATAGTTATAATATATAGTAGTTAATAGTTATTAAAAATAGTTTACTCTTGCATCCTTTGCACTCTGATCACTGCACTATTTGTCAATATGTCTGTTTTGTTCATAGTGTGTATATTAGTGTTGTCTATACTGTAGTTTGTGTCTGATTTTATTTTATTATTATTTTATTATTGTTATGGTATTTTTGTATGAGTAAGCACATCATGAGCAATGTACAATCCTGAGTCAAATTCCTCGTATGTGTACACATACCTGGCAATGAAGCTGATTCTGATTCTGATTCTGATTTAAGGGATCGGATATTGAGACGGGGAAGAGAGAGGTAGAGTGAAAATAGATGCATGCCGAACTGGGTTGGTGGCAGCTGTACAGAGCAGGGGGAACCGAGTTTGAACCGAGCAGGACCAGAGCAGAACCTGGGAATAGTTTAGCCAGGCAGGGGAGAGCAGACGGGATGAGAGCTATTTCCAGTAGCGGGACTAAACAACACGTTATTGTGCATAATTCACTTTTAACTTTTTACTATAGTGACTAAATGCTTTTATTCTACAATCTAATTATTTAAATGTATTCATTATGTTGTTGTTTGTTTGTTGTAGCCTAAAGTTTGCTGATTGTTTTGATCTATAATGAAATTATAAAAGTTAATTAATAAAGGCCATAACTGCCACACTACTGTTGTCATCTCTCAATTTAATGTGCTCATTTCTTACTTTTGTTTTCCCTTTGATGTGAACTGGAGCGTTCACTGCTGTGTGCGGAGGTCATGTGCGCGTAAAAACCCCTCAATATTCAAATCTCAACGTTTGAATATTCTAATATTCTAACATTCAGGTCCAGGCCTAGTGCTTTCTTGATGAGTGCATTGATACCACTCTCACCACGAAGTAACTGCAATGACCAACAAATAGTCCGTCACACAACACTGCAAAACCATGTGTCCTTTTTACACTTAAAGAGCCAGGCTAGCTGTTTCCTCATGTTTCTAGTCTTTATGCTAAGCTACTGGCTTGTTTCAATTTGAACCCATTTGTTGATTTTCTTTTCAATGTACTGCTTCAGCATGCATTGGATCAATAGCAGCAACACAGAAACAGAAAAGAGAATCAGTCAACAAGCTGCTTGAACTAATTAAATAAATGTAGAAAGCCACTAAACTTTCATGCAGGTGTCTGGAGGAGCTCCATTCAGTGGTGACTTATGATATAACTGAGTTAATCTAAATGGCATCCCTAATTACACTCAAGGTAGTACTACCATTTGCTGAAGTATCTCAACTCCCCTCTTTCAAAGCTAATATTGTGAGCTTTGCTGATTAACAATCTCATCCACACTGCAGCAACAGTTGACATAATGTGAACATTTCTCTGCTTGATGGAAAATAATAACACAAAAAAACGCAATCAGCCAACACCACTGTGATGATAATAACATTCACTGAGCAAAATGCAATTTTTCAGCCGACTGCCTTTGTTTAGGAAGTTTTCAGAGATGATTATTATTTGTGCAATTATATAGATAATAAAAGATCCATTTTCAAAAAGAAAACATTTCCCACCTTGCCTGTAATTATCCCTCTGTGTATCCAAACGCTTCCCGAGAGATGGAGGGTACATTTCATCCCAGTTTGTCCATCAGAATGCTTTTTCCTGGGGGCTATGGGACAGAGGTTAACAAGACCTTAATTGGCATTTTCTTCAAAGCGTACAAAACTTTAAACGAGGAGGTGACAGTAGGAAATGCCACATTACCATGTTGTCCAGCCATTTAGTTAAAAAGCCCCTTCATACACTGCCTGTCATGTTGGGGAACTGTGTGTTCTAATAGACGAGAAGAGAGTATTAATGGCCACTGCCTCCCTCCGTCGGCCAGCATTAAAGGGAAGCAGATTGTGTTTTGGCCCGTGGGTAAATTGCATCTCATAAAATACTCTTGATACAAAGATGAATGTGTAATTGGTTGCTGCTGCAGTCAATAAAAACGAATACACGCTCTTGACATTGTCGTGTATTTCTTAAATGTTATGAAAATACAATATACAGAGCAACAATACAATGCTTTGGAGACAGTTCGGTATATACATAACAGGTCTTCTGCCATGTTAACAAGGATGAGAATGAGCTGGAAAGTTGTGCCTTTTTTTCCCCAACGACATGCAGAAATTTCTCTTCGGTTGCTTTGGCCTTTCCAGAACTCTTCCATAGAATAAGATTTTGGCGTAGGAAATGAATATCCAAAATGTTACAAAACTTCCAAAACCATTTAATGTGCACACACATTCGAAACATCTATCTAGTCATGTTACAGTTCGTTTTAAAATCTACATGTCGTCTCAGTATCACAGGTCATAGCTTCTGCAGATCAGTCCTTACTTTATTCTATCTAAACCCTGTAGTAATAAAATGATGATAAAAAGGTAATCATCTGTTAAACAAATGAAAACAAGAACCACCTGATGTTGTCATTCGTCTACAAAGTTTTCATTAGTAATTCAGTCACTTGTGGAATCAAAACAATCCTCTTATATGTGATGACCCTTTGGCAGTTTGGGTTGATTCTGAAGTAAATTCCCTCTTCCTTCACCTACTAGGGGTCTGGTTTCTATTCAGAACCACTTTCCTCTGAAAGGCAAAAGGGTGAGTTTGTTACAAGTGCACAAAGTACATTATGCCACGTCTTTTAAAGCACTGTCATTTAATCTTTCCATGTAATTGCGCAACTCCTTGGAGTCTCCCAGCTCCATGTCTTGGCACACCCACTTAATGTCCTGGCAGTGGCTTCCAGTCAGTGTGTTAACAGTGGGGTAGCTATTGTCTGAGGGGATGGTGGTGAACGTGGTGAACTTGACTCGCTTCCTCTTGGTGGTGGGTGAGTCTCCTTTGCTGTCCTTGGGTATGCAACCTGTGTCTGCCGCCCGGTGCACTTGGCCCTGTACGTTTTTCTGGGCCGAGCCTCCGTTCAGCAAGTGGCTGCCTTCCTCTAGGCCGCTGCTCGAGTCCATCATGGAGGTCTGTTCCTCCTGCTGGGGTGACAGGCTGATTTGGCTCTCCAGCAGCTCTGCCTCGTTCCCCAGCCACACCCAGTCGTGGGCATGGTTCATGTTCTCCTGGCCCTCAATCGAGAGTTCCTTGTGGCGGTATTTCAGGGTATAGGAGATGCAGTTGATGAGAAAGACCAGGATGGCAAGGCAGAAGACCCCCAGCAGGGCGTACATGCCGATCTCCAGGTCTGTGAGCCCACGAGCTGTCTGAATGAGATCATCTTCCATATTGCGACCACGGGGCAGGTCCACTTGTGCAGGAAAGTCAGCAAAGTCAATTGGCATGTTCTGGCTACTATCATCTGAAAGTTTATCCCCATTGGGTCTGCGCATTATTGCGCTTCTAGTAGTGGTGGCTCTCCTCAACACCCCATCCTCCATGTCAGAGATGGAGCTGCCATAATAGTGGGTGTCAAGGCCGGTCCTGTCCTGGGAGGGTGAGAGCCTACCTCTGTTCTCCATCTCGTCTCCATCAGGGCTGTAGTCACTGCTCCCTCCCCTTGTGCTGTCAGTATGACCAAACTTCACCCTGACGTTACAGTTCCCCGCAGCCAGGACACTGCGGCGCTTGAACTTCTGGCAGACCTCGCAAACAGTCATTTCCACCCTGACTAGCAGGCCTTGGCCCTCCGCCTCCGTCACAATGACAGGCCATTTCCAAGAGGGGTTCTGCCGCACTGTCACTACTTCCTCATCTAGGGAGGTGGCTGTCAGGACAAAAAAGTCAGCATTGTACAGGTCTAGAGGAGCCACAGAGCCGTCGCTGAATTGTAGCCAGGCGCTGATCAAGGCCTCCTGTGGAAACACACACACACACACACACACACACACACACAACAATATGCAAAGAGAGAGAGAAACAGAGAAAATAGTCAGTGACACATAGACAACATGCTGTGGTTTGGTATTATAAAGACATTATAGTGCTAAAATCCTGCATCTAGCCTAATGTCATGGAAACAATCGGGAACTGATAAAATTGTTTTCAGTGTATTAGCTCTGAAATTATTATGAAATTGCACAGCCTCTTTGTTGGGTGGTTAGAGCATTAACCAGATGTTGTTCAGGTACTCTGTAATATCCTATTGCTTGTTGCCACCAGATTTTATTCTCAGGAGTGTCGTGAATTGGTAAAGAAAACACACCTACAATGATTATTTGCATTCAAAGTTGCTTTTGTCAAATCACCACACAGACAATATATATGGAGCCTTCTAATTGCAGAATACATTGGAAATACAAGCTCACTAAGTCGCATGGTTCTGCTAACTCAGCGGCTATTCTCTCTAAGCTGAAGGGGATACAAATGAAAAGATAATCAGAAAAGATCAAACAACAACTATAAACACTGTTCATGCGAATGAGGATTTGCCATACATAGGAATCGTATGCCTTCTCCTACTGCAATATCACAATTTGCCATTTAATGTTGTGGAAGGACAAATCCCCAAAGGCGCACAAGTAGATCCCCACAGTGGTCTGGTAATGCTCCCTAATTACTGGCACCAGAGGACTTACAGTGCAGTGCTGCCTGCTTATCTTCACACATTGCATGTGGAGATAGGGCAGATAAATGGCCTTCCCATCCTTCCTTACTTGGAGGAGGAGGCTGAAGAGGAACGTAAAGGAGCAGTTCAGAGGAACTTGTGAGACGGCTTGATGGGCAGATCAAAGAGGCCACAATGAGAGTAGCCAGGGCAAATGAGAAAGAGAAGCAAAATATGACACAATGGCCAAGTTTGGGCTGCAAGTCATATTTTGGTACAGAAGCTGTGGTGTTGCTTTTGCATGTTCGGAGATTAAGCTCCCGTTTTTATTAGCTGCCCAAGGAAACACATTCTGTCACACTCTGGCTTTCAAGCCTTGGAGTTAAGAGGGTTAGGGATGGTGGGGAACAAACAACTAGACACGTGTACATGAGCACATGCACACTCACAGCTTTCTTTGATTGTAAAATTGCTCATTCAAGGACCCTGATAGTGTGAAATGGAATCTGGAAGTGAGTCTTTTGTTTTGGAAATCACAGTAATCAAGGCAGCAGAATGCACATTTTTGGCTTCAGTAGATATATAAAATTCAGTTTGTCATCAAATGGCTGTCAAATCATTGAAGAATAATTTAATATGATAGTAAATAGTAAGTGTAAAACAAATTAACAATGTCTTAATCAGACCTGACTAAATAGCGTTTGCAAATAATTACTGGTCTTTGTTTTTAAATCTATTAAATCATTTTCATTTCATTTATTTATTTAAAAGGGACAGCGCACAGTAAAACATAACCGATCCAAATCACCATCAGTTTTGTAAAGGAGGGTGTGTATTCAACCTGACTACCTGACTTGCTTAATTTTTATTTCAAACGTTACTTCAGGTCACTTATATATAGGGCTGTAACTAACAGTTCTCTTCATTATGGTTTCATTATCTTATTAATCAATGGATTGTACGTTTTACAAAGTCAGAAAATAGTGAAACGCTATTCAAATTTCCTGCAGCCTAAAATGGATGTGTAGGAGAAGATCAAACTACTTGTTTTATTTGACCAACATTCCAAAATCTAGTGATTTTCAGTTTACTCAGATATGACAAAGGAAAGCGGATAATCATCACATTTGAGGAGATGGAACCAACAAATGTTTGCAATGTTTGCTTGAAAAAAATATCTCATCAGAATAGTTGCAGCTTAATTTTCTGTCCACTGATGCAGCTCTGCTTATACACATTACTTGCCTGGGTCAAGACCTTTGAATTAGGAGTGTAATATCAGGAAATGTCTGATATCAGGAAAATATATTGCAGTATCCTCACCTGTTTGGCACTCTGCAGAACCTCCTGTGTGGTTGTGGTAGCCAGGATGGCTCTGTTGCTTCCTGGACTGAGCTGCAGGCTCATGGAGAGGCCGGTCACCAGCTGGACCCCCAACTCTGTGATGGTCACTTTGTCATCTACCACTGTGATAGTCTTCTCTGCCAGGATTGAGTCTGACAAAGGAGACAACACCTAGGAAGTACAAAAGCAAGACAGTAAAGAAAAAAGAGAAATAAAGAAATTACAGATAACCTCCGTAAAAGGAATTTTGAAAGGAAAAGATGAAGATTTTGATTTCCTTCCTTCCAATTCCGTGGTGATCAATTACAGCTCTGATACAACAGTAGTGACTTAAAAATACTGTGTAGTCTGTTCATGAAGGTTTTTAATTTCCTGCTCTAAACACCCAGGGATGGGGGGGTCTTTTCCAGGAGAAATCAGCAACTGTAGCTAAACAGAGAAAAAACTATAAAAACTTCTTCAACAGAAAATCCGAGCAGAAATAAGTCACCACTGGTCAAAACGGTTGATTGACAAGTGACTTCTGGCAAGTAGAATGCAAAAACATCACATCAATGAGTACTGAGCAGTGAAGATGTCACTGACATGAAAAAGCGGATTACCACAAGTTATAGCTGATTTAAGAAAATGTCTCCTTCCAAGTGTTTCATCTAACATAAAAGGCTCACAAGCCCCTGTGCAATATGCAAAACGATACACAGAACCTACTTTTTATTTTATCTCTTTTCTCAGGTAGAGTAGATCAAACAACAACTCGACTTGGCTGCCATCCAACCCCCATACCTCCTGTAGGTAAGAATCCATTCCCTTTGATTAATACTGGTTATCCAGCGGAAAGGCACACTTTAACCCCAAAACAGAAGCAAGAAGTCTGACTGTTTTATGATGAATGCAATGTGTGGTAAGTGTGACTTTTCTCTGCATGCATATCTTTTCCTCATGCATCAGTCTGTGTGGCCCATGCCCATGGCACAGGTAGTCACAGCTGTCAGACCTTCGCACTTTTCATGTTATTTGTTTTGTGAGAGGGTGGATGATTTTGCGAAGGTGAAGGCACGTCTGCACACAGACAGGCAGATGAGACGCCGACGCCAGGAAGCATATCCTGCTTGCACAGATGTCATTAGGAGGCTGATATCCATCCAGTTAGCCTGAAGAGCCTGATAAACCAAGGGGGCCGAGGGGGAGGACGCACTCACTGCTGAGAGCCCACAGCACAAGCTGTGACACATCAGTGAGCACCTGTCTGCACTAGACCAAAAGAGGTACTAGTAAAACCGTAGCAGAAACAGTGGCATCTGTTATTGTCTCTGGAATAAACAATATGTCCATGTTCCTACAGTTCATTATTCTAACATGTATTTGCGTTGTGCATAATGGACCATAGTGAAGTTGATTAAATCTACTTCATGGTGCTTTAATACATGTTTTTTAGTATAATAATTCAAATAATTTGATGTTCCCAATTGAATGATACTTTAACAGTAATACAATAATTACCGTATTTATTTTGAGATACCAGAATAATAATTATATTCTGTATTAAATACTGTATATTCTGCTATAAATAGTCTAGTATGCCCTCTGCACTGCATTTTAGATTGTGTGTCATCAGATTTTCACAGAAATCTGATGACACACCTATTTGCCTATTTCCAAACTTGATGTGACAAGATTGGAAATAGGCACTGATCTTCCATCACAATTACAACTGAAGCTTTGAAAGATTCCCGCAATAGCAGGTGGTAAAATGACTGATTGGATATTCAATGTTATAAAAAGCTGTTTCTGGATCCTCCTCTTTCTTTCTTTTTCGAGAAGCGAAACATCTTTAGGTATCTTCCACCAAGTCCTGTTGCCCTTAATTTAAACTTCTTTTTTTTACTGAGAATCTTTATAGACAGCGCCTATACCATTAACAATGCCACTAACATGAGGCGAAGGCTACAAACTATGACCTGTTTATGTAAGCTTGCCTATTTAGGAACTACTGCTGAGTTCAGGTTTATTACAACTTTGCTCTTATGCTTGTGGATTTAGCCCTCATTTCTAACGATTACTGTAACATTTTATTCTCCAAAGTAATTGCTAAGATCTTGGAATATGGCCACATTGCTGCAACAAAGTCCAACAGGGCAAGAAACATGATTGAGCAGTCACACAATCAGACAGGTTGTAAAAAAGCCAGCATTTCAGCCAGATTATTTCAACCAGTTTGTTTAAAAATAAAAATTGAAAGTGAGCTACAAAATGTCAACAAAAATCCCTCATTGCACAGGTAAACTGTGTGTGTGGGAAAACTATGGAAAGTACAAAGGAAAAGTTGAACCAGGAAGTCATACTTCTTGTTACCCCAACAGACATTTTAGTGCTGTTGATACATTCCCAAATCTCAGCAATTAACTTGATAAATACAATTTATTATTTACTAATAGAAGTGATGCAAATAACAAACTGGAATTAGTCTTTAACAGTATTGTGATATCTTTTAAATGCTACACATTAGGTCCTTTATGCAATGCTCTTTTAAAGCTAACACATGGCCTACCTGAATAGTGGTCACCCCCATGTCGAGTCCCACCAGTATCCTCCTGTCCAGTAGCCGTGCAATGTGGGGATCCTCTACCTTCAGAAAGTCCCAAACCATCTCCGTAATGTCCACCTGCCAATCAGTGCCCAGCATAAAGTTTGTCTGGCCTCGAGGATCAGCTGACTCAGCTACAAAATGGGTCAGGACTCTGATCATGGCATGCTGGTACTGCAGAGTGCAGCTTCGTCCTCGTCTGTCTTCATCATCCTCATCCTCGCTGTCCCGTGTAGGCCTGGTAATTAAAAAAACAACCTGATGTGCAAGCTGGGAGCAACTTGAATCTTTTTTAACCATGCTAGTGGTGTCGTCCAGACTAAAATATTTCAACTAACTATTTACAGGTAATTATTGTATAGACTGTCATGAACTTTGGGACAGACATTAATGTCCCCCTCAGGTTCAATTGTTGCAAGCTGTTACTTTGGTGATCATCTCACGTTTCATCACTTACCATCATCAGGTGAAATTTTAATTTGACCTTCCCATCAGCCTCAGCAGTACTTTGTGTTTAATGCTAATTATCAAATTTTTGCATAACACGCTGAACTGAGATGGTGAAAAACATCAGCACTGCACTCTGCATTGATGTGTGGTTTGTGGTATTTTCAGTAGGGTTTAAATTAAACTGATCTCTGTCAAATGTACACACACATCAGTGTAACTCATACAAGGATGTTTACGTGAAGAAGCTCAAGTAATGATGCAGTGTTGTTAATTAAACCACTAAGAGAGGATCGATCCAGTGTATGGCTATCATTTTTCATTCTCAGTGTCTCTCCTTCACCATTTTGGAGCACCCGGTCTGGATTGTGAATGTGCATACACCTCCTTACTGCTTTACTTAATAGGCTCCCTGATTGCTCTGTTGCTAGCAAATCTAATTGTATTACTTTAGGCAACAAATCAGCTCACTCTTTCTTACCAGGAAAATTGCTAGGAGTATGACAAACTGGGTTTAAATGGTTACAATACAGCTGCAATATATCATTAGATTTTGCCCATAACTGTTAGTTTTTTTTAAATTTTGCTTCAACAAACAACTTTATAAAACAACAGATAAAGCACCCTGAGATGTTGAGAAAGCAATGTTTGATCGGTCGATCTGGGAGAATAAATGCTGTTACAGCTCTTCAGTCGTACACTGGAGCACAGTTGGGACACTTGCAAACAGAAATCTGCTTTGTCAACAAAATTACTAATCATGTACTGCACTGTAGACTTGCACCCGCCTTTTTGTCTAATCATAATCATTTGTTCCTCTGTCTCTCTTTCTCTCTCTTGCACATACACACACAGTAGCAAAGGTTGTGATCATGATAAATGGAGAAGAAAATAAATTAATCTCTTAAACTGTTTTTCTTGTGATTGCTTGTCTCTTTCTGTCTGAATCCCCTGAGAAATCTGACTCCATGTGAAGCCGTGGGAATAAACATGTTAGCTGCACGCTTCAGAGAAAGAAAACAGTGAGATTTGGAGTTAAGGGCTTAACATCATCACTGGAAGGACAGACTTCATATGCAATTGAATGACAGCCATTCACAGAAGAAATTATGCTCCTGTGGGTACTGTAGGATCCCTAAAAGAAAACGTATGGTTTCAGGATTCAACGAGGTTTGAAGAACAACAGGTGATCCAGCGAAATATCCCCAGTTCACACCGTAAATGTGTTTTTTAGACACTTAAATTAAGTGCCGTTGAATTCTGAGGTGTCCAAATACAAATCATACAATACAAAGTTGACAATTTTAACTTCTCTCTCTTCTTCTAAATCACCTGAAAACTTTATATCAAAGTATTTCTCAATTACATTCAAAGTAAAAAATAAAACAAGAATTTAACACTCAAAAAGAACATCAACATGTTTATAAGTGGGTTGCTAAATAATCTGATTCAGTATAACAGAATGAAATTATATGAAACTATATGAATGGAAAAGACATGGTCAAATTCATTGCAGTCTGGGAGCAGACTATAGGATGGAGAAATTAACATATCGGTCAAAGTATTATCACCATACCAGTCTTTGATGGATGTCGGTTGATCAGTTTGTAGATCTGCTATTTGGCCTTTACGTAGCATTGCTAAGACAATCTGTAATAGTCTATATTGCATGTTATGCATGTTCATAAATGCTAATTCCACTGTTATGACTTATATCATTTTACAAACAGAGGTAGAACACTCCACCAAAATTCTAGGCAAGGATAAGGTTTATAATAATACTTTTAGTTTTCAAAGAGCTTCCTCCCTGGGTTACCTTAGTCCTCCATGGCTAATTAAAGGCCAGCCTTCAAATTCACATATGAACTATGAGCTGCATGAAATTTAGCACTTAGATACCCCATTTATTCAAACAGACTGAGTAGGTTTGTGATTCATGAATTTGTGATCAAATATTCATTTTTCTTTTAAATTTTCTGTTTTCTCAACAACCTCTCCACGTATTTACATATTATATGCAGGAGAGAAAACCACCTGCAAATTATTTCAGTCACCGCCTTTCAATTATTCTAATGGCAATAATTAAAGTTTCTCACCACTAACTGCTTTGCTTGGATCCTTTTGAGTCATATTGTTGAATTTTTTGAGCATAAACAGGATTTGTTATTTGACATTCAAGGCCAATGAATCGACAAATGGCACTGATGTTACGGGAGTATGTACTGACATATTGCCTGAATCAGCATTTAAAGAGAATACTTATAAGGACATGTATACATTAGGTGTAATGGATACAGGAGTAAACAAGCTGATATTGAAGTCCTACCATTTTAACTCCGGTATAAATCTGATATGCCGTTGCTTAAGCAGCCATCTCAAAATCTAATCTAAGGTTAATCTAATAAACAAATCACACTGAGCGCCGAGAATAACCTGCTTCACAAAGCAATTTTTCTTTCCGCTTCAGTCACTCTCAAACCCAGTTCTGACCTCAGAGGAGATGCTGCATATTAATGTGTGTGTCATGCCTATTTGTGTTGTGCCCCACAGATCATGTGCTGTAGTTGTTTTGGCATTTTGGGGCATTTTCATTTACTGCTACAATGACATGACGAAGGTCATTTGGACAGGAATAGGCAGTGCTGCTTCTATATCTACAGAAACAGGAACTGTATGACAATGGTTGATTGTTTTTTTTATTGTTTGAATCTTTAAAGGCACAGCTGTTTGTTTTACAGCAAAAAGAGAACAGTCAGTTCACACAGTTGAGACAACTCAGTGTAAAAACAACATTAAAAATGTAATAATAAAAAGGTAACTGCTAGAGATTAAGACACTATAAAATGAGGAAAAAGGCATCTTAATATACATATCTTAAAAAACGTGTTAAAGGAGTGGTGCATGCCTGAGTGCTACGCCTACACTTTGGTTTGCTGTCTGCGGAGGCTTATCTTGTCCCTGTTTTGACAGCGCTTAGGCAGGGAAGAGGTGAGCCATACAGGCAGTGTCAGTCAAAAACTGATGTCTCTTTATTTCTCCTCCCCCTCCATGTTCCCATTTTGGCCACGACTTCCCAGCCTTCCTGATAGAGGACAGTTCTGCCACTTGCTATTGTCACTCAGTACGTTGTGGGCCTATGGACAGTGGACCAATGCCCATTCTTGTCAACAGGCATAGTGCTACTTCGCAAGGTCACGTCTGTTATCCCCTGATAAACAATGCAGGGCCAGGGTGGAAGACAGGGAGAAACAAAGCTCTGTGCAGCCCATCAGCAGTGGTACTGGCGTCAACAATGACAACACAACTCATCTGTCCCCACTGATAAAGTAATACCAGCCCACAGCTGGGAAAGCAACATACTCGACAAGCCATGGCATTAGTCGAATGCTGTACCTCTGTCACTCAAAATAAGAAAGGAGCAGGGATAATTAGAGTAGCCACACTGGTGCGTGGGATGACTCCCAAGTCCAATCTCAAAGCTTTTCCAGAAGTAATTACTGCAGGTAGGCTGATGGCTGCTCCATCAACTGATGGATTTCAACAGTTGCAGAGTAGCACTGCACAGCAGCATTGGCAGAGGTGCTGATAGTGATGAGACCCCAGGGGAGAGGTCTGACCTCCAGACAGCTCTAATAATGTTCTGTCCTACTGACGACTTAAGAGGCACAATGGCAGGCCACCTTAAGCCAGTCGTAATGACAAGCTGTATCGCACAGGTCAGCCATTTTGTTATCAGCCAAGAAATGTCAGTAGGACTGAAGTCAGGAAGAGACAGGTGAAGTGGTGTTCAGTCTGATCATTATCTTATTTAAGGCTGCCATGATTGAAATCGAATATATCACCTGGAATAATGGCTTTTCGTTACGCTCTTAAACCAAGCAAGTACTGCTGCAAAAGTGGACAAGGGACTCTGACTCATAAGCATGTATGTGATGCCAACAGGAAAATCTAAGAAAAATACTATCGTTAGAGATGAAAGAATTCAAAGTGCATTTATAAATCAAACTTAGATCCACTCAAGGCACTGATGCTTCACTCCTCCTCCACTCTAGCGCTCAACACTGGAGCCCCCCCTAGTTGTGTGTGCTCGGCCTCCTCCTGTTCACGCTGTACACCCACAGCTGCATCCTTCGACATGGAGAGAACTCTGCTGTGAAGTTCACACCACCATCATCGGCCGGAAAATAGATAATCTCACAGAGTGGTTGTTACGTCCTCAGGTGGCTCAAGCCCAGAGGAGTAACAATAAAAAATTAGAACAGGGCTAAAAGAAACAAGAAACAGATTTGTTGCAAATAAATTAATGAATATTTATTTCAATTAAAGGAAAATACTCACAAATGAAAGCCAGGGTATATAACTAAACACTACTTTCCTATAAAGGAAAGTGAACCAATTGAATAACTGATTAACTATCTAACTGAACACAGCTGGCTACTTAGATAGGGATCACACTAGTATCCCAGTAGTAACACCCTCCCACCACAGAGGGAGTACGACCACTGCACAACAACTCCACATGCAGCACTCCACACAGACCTACTGGTCCCCCCCCAACTGCAAACACCACAGGCAGAACTTCTGCCTGGTCCACTGACACTTAATCCACTTCTCTCCCAGTCTTTGTGCTCGCCACCCTGATTGCAAAGTGGGGATAGCCGTGCACAATCACCTGGCTGCAGAGGGGGAAGGGCAGCACCTTGGAGAAGTACAGGAGGAGAGAGAAACACAACAGACACAAAACCAAAACACATGGCTCTAGGCCCATAACAGTGGTGCACAGAGAACAACCAACTGCACACATCAGCAAAACCAAGAAACTGATTATTGTTTTTCGGGGTGGCGACGGTGTAGTGGATAAGACACATGTCTTTGGTATGAGATCAAGGTTCAATTCTCACTGTGACACATCCACTATTGTTTCCCTGAGCAAGACTCTTAATCCCTAGTTTCTCCAGAGGCGTGTGACATATATAGCAACTGTAAGTCGCTTAGGATAAAAGCATCAGTTACAGGAATAAATGTAATGTAATGTAGAAAAAAGGAGTTAAAGACATACACTCCTGTCTACATCAGTGGAGCAGGTGAACAGTTTTAGGTTCCTGGAAATCAACATCACAGAGAACCTGACATGGTCATCTCACAGCTACATGTTGGTGAAGAAATCTAAAAAAAACGACTGCATTTCTTAAGAAAGCTTAAATAGGTTAAATTCATGTGCCAAGTTCTTGTCAGCTTTTACAGAGGAACAATAGAAAGCATCCTGACAGGAAACATCGCAAACTGTCATGGGATGTATAGGCGGCCCAGGACCGGAGGGCTCTGCAGGGGGTGATTAAAACTGTTCACAGAAGATCATTGGTACCCATCTCCCGAGCATCAGTGATATCAGTGAGGTGAGGTGTCTACACAGAGCGTCCAAAGGATATTAAAGGACAGTACCCACCCCAGCCACAGCCTGTTCATCCTGCTGCCATCTGGGAAGAGATATAGAAGTTTCTGCTGCTGCACCACCAGACTGCAGAGAAACTTTTTCCCCCAAGTTATCAGACTTTTAAAATCAAATTCATCCTCAGCACTGCTTCACTGAATATAATTTACTTTTAATTTTGTTAATTGCACTTTGCAAAAACAGATGAAACAAGAAATGTAAGTGAGAAAAGAACCGTTTGCAGAAGGTTGAATTCTTACGCAAAACATAACAAGTAAATGTAAAGTAAAGACGGAGTCAACTTTTCAATGTTCCAATTAGCTAAATAACTAGCTTCCATTTTTTTTTTTTTTTTTAGTGTAAATAAACACAGGAAAACAACTGTTTTGCTTATTTATATTTCTCTGGTTTAATCTCATCCTGACAAATCCAGAGAAATGTTGAATACACTAAGATATAAAACAGTTGTTAAACGAGAGAAAACAATTCCCTGTAACTGACAGATGCATGCAGTACTGTACCTCTGACTGGTGGCCATAATGGGTACCCTCCACCCTCTGATCTGGCTCAGATCCGTGTCTGATACCTCAATCTGGAGGGGGAGTCGAGGAATCCACACATTGAGCTCCAGCTGAGCGCTCAGGTATCCGTAGGTGAAGTTCACCATCATCTTCACCTTGCCTTTCATCTCTTTGCCATTCACGAAAACGTAGTCACACCTGTCTGACACCTGCGTGGGGGTGGAGGGAGAGGGAAGGATTAAGAGAGGCAACATTTAAGCTGAGCTCCTCTGACGGTTGCACTCGATGACTACACATACACTGTAGGACGGCCCCTCCAAGTTGATTATAAGGCTTTACACTCCTGAGGTCTCAACTGATATAGTATTTCTGTAGTTATGTTGAACAAGATGAAAGGACCTCTATCTGCACTCAAGAAAAGAGGGAGGAGGACATCTTTGAACCTGAATGGAAAAAAGGTCATGGTCTGTTCTTCTATTATAATTCTGCAAAGAGCTAAAAGAAAAACCACCAGATAGAAACTATTAAAGAGGAGAACAGTGTCTCTTGATAAAATTACCAAATTTAAAGCCATCTGTTTCATAAATTGCTTTACAAAAGAAATGAGAGGGCCATTTTTAAGCTATCAATAGACTTAACTCCTTGTTGTTTTGGCTCACTCTCCCCTCCCCAGTGATTCTTCCTCTATTGGCACCAGCATTTGATTAATGTCCAGAATCCTCTCACTTTAAAAGCTTTATGATATGCAACCACTATAAACACATAACATGCGCAAATACACAGAAAGCCAAAGAGGATCTCAAGAGGGATCTCCAGCAGACACACACACACACACACACACACACACACACACTTATAGAGGCAATACATCAGCATGTCTTAAACAGAGATACCCTGTTTTTTCTGGGCACTTTGTCAATCCTATTGATCCCATCATATTGCAGACTACTGTGGCTGGAACCAGATGGAATTAGATGGTCTGGGGAAATATCTTTTTTTCTACTTCCAAGTTATTTCTCCACTGCGAGATAAAACCATAAACAGCCATTCATCATGAAGCCGCGTCAGGATATCCTCTGTGACCAGGAAGAAAACTTTGTGTGTGACAGATTCTATAGCGGTGTGGGAGTTCGCACCACTTCACATCACCTTTAGAGTGAAGCCAGCAATAGACTTTCAGGTTTGTATGAATAAAAGCAGATATCTGAATTTGCTGCATTGATTTTATACAATGCACTGTGGACCACTGCATGTTTGGACACACGCATCATGGTGTTGCCTTAATCGAAACAGTAAGAGAAAAAAAGGTCATTCCCTTTTTTACATCCATGTAAACATCTTTTGGTGCAAACTGGACAAACATAATGTATAGAAATAATGGTAGGGTAATGGCAAATGACCAGACAGTCAAGAATTCTTTAGTGCCCTACACAAAGATTTTGTACCAACCAAATTATCGGTCAGTTGGAACCACTAAAAATAATAATTACAAAGTCAAAACAAACACCAGGGATATTTATATAGATTTCGTAGCAAAAATAAATTTTTGTTTGGCTTTTTTGTTTTTTTTTGCAAAAAGATCATCTAAGGTCATCTAAAAAAACAGAGGATTTTATTTTTTTTTACGCTGGCCTTAAGAATCTTTAGAAAGCCCTGAGAGAAAGCTGAAAAGTGTGCTGCAGGGCATTCTTCAAGGCTACAGCCAACCATCAGGGAAATGATGTCCTGCATTCTCAAGTGAATGCATGCAGTAACAATGTATATTTGCTGTGTTATTACAGCCACTAAAGAGTACAGAGCACACATAGTAGTACCTTAATGCTCGTGCACTAATGCCACCACAACACTGCAATGTAACAGTGACTGACAGAGTTGCTTAATGAACCTTTTGAACATTTCTACAAGGGCAGTGCTGCTTCCCTGGCTACAGTCAGTCATGGAGCAGATTGGGCTCCATCAGGGCTCGCAGTGTGAGAGTGTGTTTGAACTGATAAAGATGTCAAAGGAGTCCCTGCTCCTTATCAGCCCTCATTGTTCAGCTCTTTCTCTCTCGCTGCACTCAGTCTGCTGATACTGAAGTGGCTTTGACAGCCCCTTCGTCTCCGACTTTTCTCACATGTTGGGGCTCTGCACGAGCATTAGGTTGCGGGCTAGATAACACCTGACAGGGCTCCACATGAGGCTCAATGACCATATCTAACAGTGATATATCTGAATTCATGATCAAGAAGATGGATGTTGTTCATAATTTTATTTATCCTATAGGCTTATTTTTCTTCCCACTTTCACAAAAGCCTACATGACCTCAGTTTACTCTTATTTGTTATAGAAAAAGAATGTGTAAATAAGTATGGAATTTATTAACATACAGCTCTGCTACACTATGTCCCATGACAGGAAAATTAACTGCCTGCTGGCATTTCTTTGATCTATTCCCAAACAACCTAAGCAGAAACAATTATGGAAAACATGGCAGCTGACATCCAGCCATCCCAACACATTACACTGACATTCTTATACCTTCTGCTGTGCTGTATTATTGGCCGACATAGCTCCAAATCAATATTTTAACATAGAAAGACAACCCTTAATTAATCAGTGGTCCCTTTAACCCCTCATACACTTCCCAGCAGGATATGTGCTGTGGCAGACTGAGGGTGGGACTGTCTCTGTGAATTACACACTTTCCGTCATTCTGATTCACAAAGTATCATAAACGTCCAGGAGGATCCACTGCCACATTAATCAGACACATTAGGCAGCTAACGGGAGAATACTTACAGAGGACATTAAGGCTGTCTCTGGATCTAGCCCAGAAAATTAACAACTCACCAGACAGATACAATCCACGGCAGATATGAGCGATGGGAGTAGGGAGCATGAAGGTGGAGTGAGCCTGTCTCTGGCTTGTACACAGAGTTGGCTTGACAGAAGCAATTAAGCCGCTCAGACTCCTCTGCATAAGCTACACCACTCACTTAAATGCAAGGGGAAGGTCTGTAAATATTCTAATAGCCCTGCTCCATGGAAGAAGTGGGTATAAGAGCCTGCTCACATCATGACCTTGAGTAAGTTCAGTTCGTAGCTAACATGAAGACAGAAGATTTTCAATAATACGTAATGTAAAATAAACTATGGAACTTCTTTATGCTGTTGATCTTGTTTCAAGATTCTTTTTTGTGTGTCTGTGTGTGTGTGAGCAACTGAAATAATTTTCAATTAAAAATCCTAGGACTCAAATGTACAACGTATCCTTCAGCGTCCTTATGAAACGCCTTTAGGTTTAGGAAAACATTGTGTTTTGTAATAGATGGTAGATGGGTTACATTGGAGATACTTGAAAGGCCAGGGTGTCTCAAATTTTGTCCATTTGAAACGTTGGTCTGCTTGCACTACTAAAGGCTACAAATTAATCAGTGTGCTTCAGTCACTCTTTTGCCTTGGAACTTTACTGTCCTTGAGCTGAGAAGCAGCTGATTCAGCTATACACATCATTTCTTTTCCCTAAAGGTACATTTGTCAAAAAAGTACCCTGTAAGGTATGGAAATGGTCTTTAAGGTGTTAACCTTTGTTTATTTTTAAAGGTACAGAATCATTCCTGACAGCAAAGGGTACATAACTGTACCTTTAACAAGCTTAAGGTACAGGCAAATGATGCAGAAAATCAGTGATCCTTCACCCCCGGGACATAAAGGGTTGGCGACGGCCCAGCGGATAATACACATGCCTTTGGTGTGAGAGACCTGGGTTCAATGCCCACTGTGACCCATCTCCCAATGTGTCCCTGAGTAAGACACCCTCGTTGCTCCAGAGGCGTGCGACCTCAGATACAAATAGGAATTGTGAGTTGCTTCGGATAAAAGTGTCATCTAAATGAATAATTGTAAAGAAAGGTACAGACAAGAAGGTACAAAAATGTACTGACTTCAAAGGTACAGTCCTCGTACCCTGCTAGGGTACAGCTGGAGCGACAAAGCCTTTGTACCTTTATAGGTCCATTCCTGTGCCTTGATTTCTCTGTGTGTGTAGCTGCAACATGGGAAGCTTGGAAGATTGTAGATGTACAGTAGATGAGCTGGTGCTACTCAGGGGCGGACTGGGACAAAAATTCAGCCCTGGCACTATAGCCACGCCAGCCCACCTCACCACGCATCCCCACAAACACACATTCACTACTTAGGCTACATTTGTGTACAGATGGTGAAACAATATAAGCAATAGGCCGACTGTATGTAAAAGCAAGGGCGTCACTTTGTGTTGAAAAGACGTGGTGACATAAGGTCTGAGAATAGGGGTGTGATTAAAGATATTTTAACACTATTTTGAATAAATATTCCTTAATGAAATATCCGAGTGGGGGATCTGGGGGACCTCCCCCTGAAGATTTTGAGCATTAAACTCTTAATTTCCTGCAGTCTGGAGACATTTTCTGCACCTATTTATAGAGTAAATGGCTCAATTTAATAAATAAAAAAAAATAAATATAAAATTTTTTTTTTTTAGTAGTTTAAGTAACTTCTTGGACAATTTGTTTCTTCTATATTTAAATTGCATTGCATGTTTTCTTATTGCGCAAATAAGATTCTTGTTCCAAGCTATTTTTCAGAACATATTTAACCAATTTTGCTTTCAAAAAGTGATGGGGACATGTCCCCAGAGACCCCAGTGTAAATGACACCAATGGTAACAGATTTGTTACATTTCATGTATGTGACTGGCACACAATGTTCACAAATTTTTTAAGAGCACACAAAATTACACAATCAGTTAAAACAATGGCTGTCCATCTGAGTCTGTGTGCTCTCTGTCTGTTTGTCTACTGTTACTGTCTTTCTTTACTACAGAGTTGATTAAAACCCGAACAACCATTAACACAGTAGCCTATAGAGCATTGCAGAAAAATGTTTTCCCACACAGTGCGCTCAACATTGGAATACACATGAATAAAAACATTACTCATTAGCCTAGTTAATTCTGCTCTCCTTGCCTTGACTTCTAATATGTCCACACAAGAACAGAACAGACACCTCTGCTGCAAACACAGCGGCTTGCCCTACCTCTTTCTTTCTCTCTCCCTGTATTTGTCAGCCCTGTTTACTTTCTCTATCAGCAGTGGGCTGTTTAATAAAGTGGCCAAAATGACACAGCACTCACGATTTCCACCCGCAATGCTGTTTTCACCGGCGGGTACGCGGAGGAGGATTGTTAATGAGGAAGCCAAACAAAACCGAAACCAACATTGTACCCAGTTGCACCTGCACCAAAGTGTTCACTGTTGCTTTACCTGGTCTGCACTTGTGAAATATCCACCGAGTCTTAGAGCGTAATGGATGACCATTTCTCTCAGTGTTTCTCTGCAAAATGCTCCGGACCCTCTGGCATATGCCAGAATTGCCAGGTGGCCAATCCGCCCCTGGTGCTACTTATCTACTTTAACCCACCCACAGTCTACACAGTCATTGCTGTGAACCAGGCTATATGCATTGACACTAAATCTAAACTGTCAAAACTCTAAATCCAGACAGAGCAACATGTATGTGCAAAATAATGAAGGCAGTCCTATGTGTGTCAGGAAAAAAACTGTTAAGAAGCAAGAGCAAGCAAGAAAAATCTCCGAAGAGTTTTAAAGAAAAAATGTGACCTGAGGTATTTCTTACAAATTGACGGTAATTATAAGGCTACAAGAGTAGATGCATCATTTAATGTGAACTGTGATTCATTATTCAGGTTTAATGTCACTCTCTGTTTACTTATCACTAATTCCCCAGGTCAAAACTAGATAAATTAGTCATGTTTACATACAGTATCACAGGCTATGATTAGAAAAGAACTTCCCTGAGTGAGCAGCAGTGAGCACGCCGGATGAATGCTCTGATCTAAAACTGCAGCTTTTTAAAAATGCATCTTTGACTGCAATTTAATTAATTTCCCTCTGGACCTCACTTAACCATCCCTAACAGATCCTTCAGACATGATAAAGTGGATCGATGTGGTAAAATATCCTCCCCTACTTTACTTTTTGATTGTGTTCCATTATTGCTCTTTAGTGTGCATTACTTGGGTTTGATTTGCTGCATCCTACTATCCTTTCTGATCTTGACAAGTTCAAACTGGAAACACAATTGGAAGGAGCCCTTGGCACAGCAAGGTGCCGTTTCAGGATACGGAGCAACATCTCATCCACTGGAAGCAGGCAATAGACAATGTGATTTTCTTCTTTTTCTATTGGGATTCTGCTGGAGAACGACTTCTTTGGTTTTTTTTGGAGAGCAAAGCCACTGATTCCAGGGCACAACTTTAACACTGTAAGGGTCTTTTTATTCTGTTGTGTTGTGCCCCAGGTTTGAAAGGGGCTCTAAAAATAAAGGAAAACTTGAGCAACCTGTCAGCAGTCACTGCATATCAAACACCCACTTTCATGTTGTTTGCTGGTGTTTGTTTATCCTTTCTGGAGGATTTATATAGATGTGCTAAACATAGAATATCCTCTCATCTATCTTTCACATAAGCTTTAATTGTAGTCTGTGAAGTTTCACAATACCTGCATATAGTTTCAGTCAGCTGTTAATTAGGGTTGGGTATCATTTAAAATTTTATATTACCAATACCAAAACCAGTACCCTTAAAGTGATACCGATACCAATAGAGTTCTTTCGATACCTTGCATAAAATGCCACCTGTTGAAGCCATAGTAGTTGAATGATAGCCTATTGTTTTTTATTGTTGTTATGGACAAGCAAGGTTATTATTTTTTTTGTTTCAAATAACTGTATTGTAACATAAAAGTATTGGGAAATTGTATCAGATGGCTCCTCATTCTAATTAGTTCACTAAACTACACTAAAGCAAGGTCGTCACTTTGTGTTGAAAGGTGGTGGGGACATTTAAGGGCTCAGATTAGGGATGAGACGAAACACTTAGTACAAGAGACGTGAGAATACACAATATTGGAGTCACGGGAACAAGACAATAAGATACTCCAATGCTATGTAGAAGAACCCCACCTTCCACTGTCCAAAGACATGCGGACTAGGTTGATTGGTGACCCTCAATTGTCCTGAGGTGTGAGTGAGTGTGACTGGTTGTTTGTCTATGTGTGGCCTTGTGATGGACTGGCGACCTGTCCAGCGGGTACCCAGCAGCTTGTTTTTTTTAGCCTAAGTTACTTTTTTTGGACAAGGCAGATCTGTTTCTTCTATATTTACATTGCATATTTACATTGTTTTCCTATTGTGCAAGTAAACCTTTCTCATAGAATCTTTATTTGTTATTTAACATTTTTGTTGCAAGCTAATTTTCAGAAAACTTTTAGCAATTGCTTTCAAAAAGTGTTGGGGACAAATCAGCATGTCCCCAGCGTCCCCAGCGTCCCCAGCGCAAATGGCACCTATGCACTTGTAGCAGGTCTAAAGCTATGCAATATTTTTAATACATTTATGAGAATGCCCAATTATGAATTTTAATATTCAGAAAATATTAATCCATAAATCTCTCGTTTCGGGGCACCACTGGAGTTATTATTGTCTCCGGACCTCTGGGTAGCATTTTAATAATTATACAATTATTCACTAGTGATCAATTAGCTAATAATCACTCAATTTTCTTAAATCAATCAGTCAGTCTCATCTGAAGAGTACATTCTCTTGGCAGGGACTTAGGAAATAGGCAACACACACAATTCCTTGATTACAGTGAATTTATTAGCTAACTAAGGTGATATAAAAATGCGGTTAAATACATCAGAGAAATAAACAATGGCTAAAAAATGAGAATGGAGGTCTATTGTGGGAGAATTTGACTCATACGGCAGCTAATGAATGCAATTAGATGATAACTCGGTTAAATTTGTCTAGGGGATTAAGGACTGAATATAATGGATTAACAACTATTGGACATCACTGACCACAGGATGCCTTGTTTTGCCTTACGGTAGGTCGGCGGCCTGCCTTGGCCTGTTGCACGGGTCCCACGCTAGCTGCCCAATTCCTGGCTTTTTGCTAGGGAATTCTCCGAGGTTCTCCGTGTCTGGAATGAAGAAAAACCCTCATGGGTTGGCCATCCTCCGTCTGGCAGTTCGGCTGTTCTTCAGGTGTTCTTTGTTGCGCTGGCGAGACCATGTAGCTTGGTCTGACCTCGGTGACGTTAGCTCGACGAATAAAGCTTAAAAAGGGAACTTGGTTGTTCTTGAATTAGACTAGTGTAACTTAACGGACTGATAACTTTTAACAAAACAAAAGAAAGAAAATAAAACAAGTAAAGTTGCTGTTAACCGAGGGAAAAATCGATGTTGCGGCACTTCGTGTGTGTAGCTTCAAACGAAACAAAGGCTTTTGTTGCGCTGGGCCGAACTCTTAGGGCATTGCCGGGAGAGAGGGCACGCCGGGTGCGTGCCGAAGTGCTGTTGAAGAGGCAGGAACAAAACAGAGCACAAAGAACAAGAGAAGAGAATTCGAACGACGTTGTGTGTCGCGCTTTTGTTGGTTGGGGCGTGGTTCCCCAGAGGGCAGTCCTTAGTTTCCCACAGGGCGGGCCGTCTTTCTAAACTTTTAATATGTCTAAAAAAAAGGAAAAGAAAATCTATTTGCGCGTATTATAATCAAATATCTTCCCACAATCAAACCTCAATTGTTAAACGGTTGTACTGTTCTAAGTTTAAGCATTTGGTAACAGGAAAACAATTGTCAGTAATTAGACCTTAAAAGGTTAGCATTTCAGAATCATATCAGAGGAGAGGAACTTAACTTACATGGATATATTGGCTGTTACACGTTCTTAGAGAATATAAGCAAGATACACGAATGGCATTAGATTATTGACAAGATAAATACGGAGTGACATTTATACATTAACGGCATTTCATACGATGGTATGTAATACTTATTTAGGGTTAGGGTTTCCTGTCCCCTCTTAAGGAGAGTTTCGATAGGCTGTTTGTAATCTCTGGCTAGTTTCTTTGTCATTTTAACAATTCAGGCAACGAGAGGCTTATCTCGGCTGTTGCCAAAGGTGGCCAGTTTTCCGATCAACTGCCCAGGAATAGCACTTAGGGAAAGTGACCTTTCAACCCCCCTTCCTTTGGGGGTCGCTTTGGCTGTCTGTAGAGGGTTGGTAATCAAACCCCCCTCCTCCTTCTCTCAGAGAGAGAGGGAGGAATTTAGAGTAGTCCAAATTTATTTAATATAAAATGCGCAAATCCACACTGTAGGTACACTACACAATAAAGACTCACAAACAGAGGAAAAGAGAGGCTGCACATTCAGCCGATCAAACCAACTACATCTGATATCTGTCGCAGCTGCAGCTGGAGGCTCAGTGAGTAAAATCAGTCGTTCCTGCGCAACAAAAGCGTTTAATTGATGTGATGGAACGCAGTGATCGATCAGTGACAAGTGATGTGAACAGCAAATTAAAACGATGAAACCAACGGGAAGCCAAGCTTGTGGTGATAAACTTGTAACAGTGACGAACATGCCAGAGACCGCCACCGAAATTGGGCACCTGTTAAAATCATGCATGGACTCGGGTGCAGGACTTTTTTATACAGTATATGGTACATGTACATAAGGGAAAAAATGCAAGCTCTCTTTCTTTCGGTGTGTTGCTTGCATGTTTGGTTGCAAGCAAAACCCTACAAATGCCGCGTACTGGTTTGACTGGAGACGTTTCGATTCTACTCGATACTGGGCTGTTTTGGTCGGTACCCTAAAGGTATCGAGTAGCGATACCCTTCCCTACTGTTAATCCTTTTTCAGTTAAATTTGACTACAAATTGACACTTTACTAGGTGATGAAGTTCAGTTGCTCTAATAACCAGAACGGTGTGCCAACAGTCATTACAGTAAATGGACTGCACACATTTTAAATAATTCATTATTAGTATTTCAATTATTAAAATATATTTCATTTATTATATATGTACAGCATCGATTCTACAAAGGTGACTAACTTTTAGCTGCATAAAATCTGTTTCTATTTGCACCTTGTCACAATTTGCTTTTATGAGCACAGCGACTTTTCCACCTCAGCCAAGTTCAAAAACCTTTTATCTCTATATTTAACTCTTTTTTTTTTGGTTTTTGGCGTTTCCATTCTGGGTGTTTTTGTTGTTGAGGAAATTGAAAATGCATGAAAACCAGTTTACAGAGGCTCGTTTCCATTTCAGCAATTCATCTTACTGACCTTGACCACGTCTTCGTCTGTAGAACAACACTTGACTGCTTCAGAGACATCAGTGACAGAGGCGTCTATTCCAATGGTCACCACCTTTACTGGGACAGCCACAGTCTTCCCAGTTAGCACAGCAGTGTTTAAAATCTCAGAGTCCTAGAGAGAGAGAGAGAGAGATCAGTATAGCAATGGTCGAAGGCCTTGCAGGTCTAATCCATCCAATAACATTCAATCAGAAATTACTAGCTCAGAAAGAATAGAAGAAGTGCAAGTAACAAGTAGTATTGAGAATGACCAAGGCTGACTCAAGCTTTGCACAACCACCGCTGAATGAGTGATTATTGGATAAACTACTGTGAAAGCAAAACTGGTAATAAATGGTGAACACATTCTCCAGGACAATATCACAGCAGCTAAGACGCCATTTTTTTTCATTCAGGTGACAGCCAGGTTCATTGCACATCTATGTACTATGACCTTTTTTTAGTGTGAACCAATTTCTTAAACTTCTAAAGGAGTAACGTGCAGCATTTTGTTTCCATTTATTTTTGAGTAGCTACTGTTGAGTTTGTGGGTGGCTTACTATGAAATTTACCATAAACTAGTTAGGGTTTTTTCTAATTATTGTGAATATAATTATTAAGATGAATATAAAATGTCCCCCTCACTGCCACGCTCTTCAGCCAGCTAATTGATGAAAGCAATTAGCAAAACATTATGGTAGGCTACAATTTAGAATGTACTTGATTATTGACGTGAAACAAATGCAATGCTGAAAGAATTATATTTAATGTGGGAAAATCATTCATGCTCTATTACATGAGCATTTTTCTATGAATCATTTGCTTCTCTGCTCAGACACATCATCAGTAATGTGACATGGAGTCTCCAAGTGTTTCCTCTTGCCAGAGTTGATCCAGCTTTATTCATGAAGTCCTGGATCCACAGCAATTTGAAGGCTCTCTTTGCAGTCTCTGTGGTGGTTGTGATTACCCTTCTCTCTTTTACTGAAAAAGCATTGCCACAGAACCTACATAATTGATCTTCAAGAAATGCAACAAACTGTGTATTTTTAGCTGTTTTGTCCATAAAATACCCATATTAGGTATATCTGTTTTGTGTCTGGCTGTCCATCTACTATTATATTGAAATCAATAAAATTTACAATTTCCAATTATACGCACGTAATCGCCCACTGAAATTTACGTGTGCATGATTGGATATATATACCTAGTGTAGTTGTGTGGAACAATAAACTAAATCACCAAAATGACTCATCAACTGGATCTTTTTCAGTTTTGGTAACAGCTAGAGAAGAAAAAATCATAAAAGAAAATCTGTTTTACCCAAGCAAAGGCTAGAAGTGGCTATCTTATTAGCTGGCTTTTACTTATAGCTGGCTCTCCTGCTCGGTGTCTATTTGTCTTTTTTAATCACTACACTGAGCTTACACACGTATTTTGGTGACTAATTCAATATCAGGAAATGGATTGTCTGATCAATTGTTAAATGTCAGGTTGTCTTTTTGTTGCTTTTGTTAGCTTTAAGACTTTTTTTAGTTGACTGTAGTTGTACATGGTTGTTTATTGCACTGCAATTATAATAATAGTTTTCATGTGGTAAAGCATGCATCAAAAAGTGACATCTTAACTCTATTTTGACCCAATGTGTAGTTATAGTGGCAATGTTAGTGGCATAGTGGCATTTTGGAGGAATAACACAGTAGGCCTATTTTAAATTGATGGTAAGACTTAACCTGTCACGACTCAGTCAGGACTTCTTGTGTAAATTAAAACCTACTAGCCAATCAATTTTATCTTTGTCTCTAGGTTCTGTGTAAAAGGTGCACAGCAAATTGAGAAGAGTTACATTTTTGGCGTTGCTGAAATCTGAGTAAATGTAGAGTTAGTTCTACTATGATAGTCAAATCCAATATATTTAACTCTAAGTTGAAAAGTAGTTGTTGTCAAAACTGAGTGTAAAAACAAAGTGTTACTAAATCAAACTTGTAAGAGTAATTGTATAAATATTAACTCTAAACTTCTTACTTGGCTGGCTGGCTTTTACACTTGAAGTGTTCATGTCACCCTGCCCCTACTGAGTAGACCTACACACTGGTTGGCTGAAGCCAGGAGTCTTCATGAAAACACTCCATTGACTGCTGGGAAACTAGGGACCAGGTGCTTGTGACCTGGGTCTAAACTTTAACACTGTTTGATAAGTAAATGAATCAGTATTTGTCATTGTTATATTTTATATTGACATTGCTCTACTGGCACCTGGTCATTTTACAATTGTGAGCCACCACCACCACCATAACTTATGTCTTCTGTCACCACACTGTTAGTAGCCACCCTAATGAGCATTACCAGTAGGAAACAATTTGTGCTGCGCTTGCCACTGGGTTCAGAGCAAAAGTTCAGCTAAGTGAAACTTTGACTGTGGTGTGTGTGCAAGCTCACCACCACTGTGTGTTGCTTGATGCAGCAACAAACCGCCATAATGAGTTGAAAAAATGGGTTTCATTGCACAGCACTGTTGGTATTGTGATGTGTCTGAAAGGCCCAGAACACCTTTATTGAGGAATATGGCAGAGATGGATTCACACCTTTAAAATGTTATGGGGTTAACACTTTTTCACAAATGTCCCTCTGAGAGGATTAATGTATAACACTAGATAAAAGTGTTAAGAGAAACTAACACTGATTGTATTAAATTTTAACTCCAAAAAGAGTAAAAAATTACACTAAAGTTAAGGTACCAACACTCCAAAAAGAGTTAACTTAACACATTGCGGTGTGAACCCATATAGACACTTAAAAGTCTCTGACAGTGTTAATTTGGGTATGCTGATTTTACTGTACACCAATGCTGCAATTTGCCCCTGGACTGTATTAAAGGTATCCTCAGCAGTCTAGACAGCCCTGGTTCCTTGAGTTCAATGGCACAGCTTCATCCCCCTGAACATAAATCTTAACCTTTCATTACACGTACTCACACACACACACACCAATGTTATCAAAGAAGATAATTGGGGCCAATCAAGATAAGTCTGAGGTAAATTTTGCTCTCGAAAGTCAGCCATGGACATTGGATTGTCTGTTCTGCTTATTCAGCCCAATGGACTTGCTCTTTAATTACACAGATTGCTATGGAACCTTGGGCAGCACATTAAATAGCTGCCATTGAGGTCAACGTGTACTTCTCAAAACTTGTACTATACAACAAACATAGTCTTCTTGCTTTTGGGGAACTGAAATGACTTTAGCTAATTGTACGGCGTGACAAAAGTCTCTCATCGTAAGCTGTTTTCAGTCTGCTATTGGGATGGTCCTACACAAAAACTCTGCTCTGATTTTCTTATTTCAATGGACAGGGACCCAAGATATATATATATATATATACCCATTGCACTGTATTGAAGCATTGCCAGCACTCAAGACATTTCAGTGGTATTCTATTGAGGTTGCTTCCATTATCTGTCTTTTAACAGAAAGAAATCTACCTCCTGAGTGACGTCTGTTGAATAAAATGTCACATTTGTTTAGAGTAATATTGCAAACCTGACAAGCTCAGACAGGACCAATCTACAGTGCCTGGCTTCCTGTCACCACATTCATATGCATCCCACTGTCACCAGGGAAGTACACACGATTTGTACACTGCCCTGTTAACTTGGTTTCTTAAGACTATCCCCTGTGTTTGTAAGCTTGTGAATCAGAGCCATTCAAAAAAGAGAGAAAAGGAGGATTAAGTTTGGTTGAAAGGAGCCTAGTCGTTTGTAAGCATCAATTACTGAGACCATTCAGCTTTGGAGTGAAATGATTATTAGTTGAGCCAAGAGATACCAATGAATCACAAAAAAACACTTAATCTTCAAATGGCTTTTCATTACAATTTTATAGTCTGTGACAGTGTTATATAGCAATATAAACCCCCCTCTCCCTGTGTCGTTGACTTTGATTCAATTCCCCTTAAAATCGAGGGTTGCTGTAAATTAATTCTGTGTCGGCTGGGATTCCTCCATTTCCAGAGGGTCATCTATAATACATGATGGGGTAAATGGTTGGGACCTGGTGAAAGCAGAGGCTAATGTTAGATTACAGCAGCTGGAGATGACCCAGCAGGCTGAGAGCAGAGAGCAGCGCCTGGCAGTAATAAGACACAGCGGGATCCCACATTGATGCATCAGTGGTCCACACTCTCAGACATAGACAGCGCAATTAAACACAAAATGGAGACCAGTGGTGCAGATCTGCAGTGTTACACAGTCATCTTACAGTGGTCCGATAGAAGACAGAATTAAATTTTGTCCCATGAAACTCGAAACACTACCTGATGAGACATTATTATGGCCAGAGATTAATTAGTGTCTTGTTTGAGATGCTACAGTAGAATTATTAAAGGGGAATTTCACAAAAATTTCTTTCAACCTCAGTTGTGTTTTTATGTTTTTTCTCCAAATACCCTGTTCACATCTGCAGTTCCACTAGTGAACCTGGAGACTTTGGGAACCCAGAGGGTCATGGACACCAGGCCATTTGACCCCTTTGGCTGGTAATCCAGCCAAGTAGTTGCAGTGGAAGCAATTGTATAGTAACACCTGAAACAAGTAGCCGATCATCTGGAGCATTGATTTTGAATGGTGATGAAGTCGCAACATAACAGCTGTGCACTCATCTGAAAACAATGCACACCCAGCCAAGCAGAATTGTGTAATCTATATGGCCTCCATGGGAATCAGGGGTGAAAATGAACATTGATCAGAACAGATATTTATGCGAAGTTCTATCTGTCTCATCTATCTGTCCGTTGATTCTCTGTGCCTCCCCATTGACTCCACTCATGTGCCCCCCTTTTTGCCACTCTCTCCTCTCCAGTAAGAAATAAAATGCCTCAACAAAGAACATATGAGACAGAAATACAATTGCATTTATTAATATTTTTAGAAGCTTCTAAGCACACAGCATGCTTCATGGTTCATTTGATTCTCAACTGTTGACGCTGGTGTTTTACTTATAGACCAATCTGAGACCCTAAGTCTCACAGATAGCAGTCTTGTTCTTCAATAATCTGTGGGAGAACTGCCTGTCTGCTTTATCAAGGATCTCTCTGTTAGCATTCAGCACGCTGCTGTGGCTGGTAATGTGCTCTGG